AACCGCTAGCAAGGACAACGACGTCCGACATTTTAGCCTTAGTCAAGGGCTGATGTAGATTACGGTAGAATTCGTCCTTGACAGAGCCGCCACTGCAGTCAGTTGGAGCGTACACGGAGATCACAAACAAGTTGCCTCTCTCTTCGCGGCGTTTGTTGATTCTACATGAACCGCGAAGCCGAACTGCACATAGGCGGTTGTTAATCGGGGACCAGTCCAGTAGTGCCGCTTTGGCCTTGCCATTTAGTGCTATACTTACACCATCCAAACCCGCTGAGGCTGCTTCTGGATCTCCAGAAAGACGCAGGTGATATCTGGCTTCGTGGTCAGTGAGGGATTTCAATGTAAGCACAGTGCTGGGATCTTACAATCTGGTTTCTGAAAGTCAACAGACATCAATATCGTGGGACTCTAGGGTGCGCGTTAGACAGACTTGCTGTCCAAGCTGCATGAGTGTCCGAACGTTGAAGCACGGCAGAGGGAACAAGGATCGGGGACGAAGGACAGTCATAGGTTGAACTTCGAGGTTCGCGGCGCAATCGGAATCCCAGCCAGATTTTTGTAGACATGAATCGGGTGACGGAAAGCAAGCATTATTAGCAAACAAATAATTGGCGTGTGATGAAGTCGCGTGAATGTGAGAAGCAGAAACGGTAATCGATGGGCACGTTTTAGTGCAGTCCATGGTTTTGTGTGGGTTGAATTACTACCCGGTTGCCCATGCCGAAGTAAGGATTGGACTTAGGGGACCCCACTCCGAGCTTTTGGCTAAATAACCTACCCGCAAGGCAGCGGGACGAATTCAGGGAGTCGCGCCCCTTGGGAGGCGCTGACAATGTTCAGTTCATGCATCTTTCGTTTGGTAGATCACCAAATAGAGGCCCAATATTCCCCATGAAATCAACACAATTGCTTTACTGCAATTCCCCACCGAGGTGGAACATTTTCGTCGAACACTTCGCTGAAACGGGGTACACCCGAACCACCCAGCTGGCTTGCCGAACAACCTCCTCGGGGTGCCAACTGGGTGGTTCGGGATTTTCCCGTTCCAGCAAATGGTTCGGCGGCAGTGTTCCAGGACGTGGTGGGTTTTCGCCTGGCAAGCGTTCTCCCTATAAAAAGCCACATATGTCCGTTTAACAACACTGTGACGTGGCGGACGTGACTCGCCACTAAACAAAGTCACTGACCCTTGCTTCATTCTGGCGAAGCATTGTATTCCAGCAACCTTACGCTGTACTTCTGGGGAGCATTGGGCCCCTGTTTGACAAAGGAACAAACAAATGAGCAATCAGTCACCTGCTCCCAATGGGCGCGATTCCCTGAATTCGCCCCGCTGCCTTGCGGGCAGGCTATTCAGCCAAAGGCTCGGGGTGGTGACCTCTAAGTCAGCACCCTACTTCGGCTTGGGCAAACGGGTAGTATCTTGCCCTCTGAGGAAACCATGGACATTGTTGTGTTGTGTTTTATTTTACTATTTCTGTATCTTCGTTTGAATCCCATGGTTTCTGATGGCATTATGTCTGTTAGCAGACTTTTGCAAATATATATATATATATATATATATATATATATATATATATATATATATATATATATACCCAGCTGGCACCACGAGGAGGTAGTTCGGCAAGCCAGCCGTCTTCATTAGACCAAAGATGTAAATCCGTACGACTTCTCTTACTTGATTATTCGAATCTCTTTGGAAGCCTGGATAGGTCAGCGTTGCTCAACCTGCTATCCGCGAATGGAGTTCACCCGGGTGTACGACCTGTTGTGTGACTATTTTACGGATCGTACTCACTTCATCAAGTTAAACGGTAAGAAGTTCTCTGTCCTCCGTACCGACTGTGATGTTTTGCAGGGAATGATCCGATCACCTTTTCAATAGAAAGGTGATAGGATCGCTCCCTGCTTGTATGTTGAACCTCTCTATCCACAAACCACATTTATAGAATACAAATATGCTGACGATATTGTGCTGGGATGTATGGCTCCACTATTCAGGATTCCTCATCACCTCTGTGTGGGTTGGAAGATCTGGTGGAGTGATCATTATCGCGACGATAAGTTGCAATCGCTCACAGGTATCTCACCCACCCTTATTGTGAACTAATATCCCATGCTCAGATCATACACGATCAAGTATCTCGGCGTCTTTTTGTCCCAGAACCTTGGTCCACGCATGTTTGTGAAACTTTCCAAAAAGTCAGAAAACTTTCATTTCATACTCTCAGACTAAAGGTGCTTTCATTACCCCGTACTTTGTGACACCTTGCATTAATCCCCATTAGTTTTACTGCTCTTCTGTCATCTTCCTCTGGACTTAAAAAAGACTATCACTTATCGGTAGGATCTACAAAGTACATTTCTAGGTGCAGCGGCTTGTCTAGATTCTTAAGTATATTTGATCATTTCTAGACATCTGGATGTCTGCAATAAATTTTATTGTAAGCTACTAGCTGATCATTTTCATCCACTTCACATTATTCTTTCAAAAACTCTCTTCTACTCGTTCGAAATTCGAGGTTTTTTCTCCTGTACATCATCGTATCGTAATACTATCTTGTCTCATCTATCACGTTTGCTTGTTGACTCAGTGAAAGTCATTCACATACTGCAGGAGCGGTTGTTGCAGTAACAATTGTGCATATTTTGCCATCTTTCTCCCCGGAGTACGTTTGCATATATTATCATGCAGTTTTCCACAGTCCTGTTGTAAATGCTGAACATCAATTTGCTAGGGTTCATAAAGCTTATTTCGACATGACTTGAATCCAGGATGGAACCACGCTACCAATAACTTATGGCAGTGTGACTAATTTTGGTCCATCGCTGGCCAGCAATAGGTGGATGCTAAGGGGCACTTCGGCGCCTAACTGTGACTAAAAGCGGTGCTAACAAGAAACAGCCAGTGTTCCGCAGTCGATGCTCGCCGTTGTCTGTCCATTCGGAGTTGTCCATACTTTCCACTTAACTGAGCTTACGAAGAGCTCAGACAACCTACTTACACACTCATATCCTCTGCAACAGCAGCGATATCTGTACTGGGGACATTGCGTAGTAGCTTGTTCAGTTCGTGGTAGAATGTGTCCTTGGTAGCATCAGAGCAGCAGTTGTTGGTGGAATAAGCGCAAACCACAAACAAACAGTGCCTTGTACTGTTTCGTTAGTCAGCCTTAGTTGATGTCATCAAGCGGACTGCACACAAACAGATGTATGACATTGCGGTTACTATCAATTAAGCTACTACTTTTTGGTGATATGTTAGTGGTGGACGTTGCGAGTTTAGTGAGAGACAGGTGGATAGTTATCAATGGGCCACTGGCATTGGTATATCTTCGCTCTTCCGCTCTGTTGTATGCAGCAGGTAAGGCGACCGTTTGAAAGCTGCGCAACTGCCGGTCCAGGAAGTGATTCGATTCACTTATCTTGGTAGCTGTATCACATCTGGTGATCATATCACTGAGTAAGTTACTTCGCATATTAGCAAGGCCGATGTGGCTTTTCAGATTCTCGAGCATCTTTGAAGATGACGGCTTATTAGTCTATCTGTGAAAGGGTTTACGACCTGGTCCGATCGCGATGAAGAGAGAAAACGCTTAGCCATGTTTGACCACCGCTGCTTGCGGAGTATTGCTCACGTCTGGTGGGAACTCTTGTGAGCAATGCTGAGGTCTGCCAGTTGGTTTTGGTACGAAGCCTTCTGGTGTCTCACTCAATTGTTTGCTGAATCCTAACCGCTTATGTTGACTAGGCCATGTCCTCAGTATACACGTTGACCGCATTCTTCGTCGTGCATTATACGCCGTGGTTACACCAAGTTGGGTGCACCGGCGATGTGGCCAGTCGATGACGTAGCATGTAGCCATTGAGAAGCTGACCGAAAGACTTGGTGAGGCTGGTGCGTACCGTCTTCGTGGATGGGGTCCCCGTGACGGTCCGCACCCGTTGTTGGAGACCCTATCATGCATGGTGCCGTAGTGCACTCAGTGGCGTTCCTGCATTCGGTTTCTCTTTTTCTTTCACTCTGATTAGTTTAACGTACTTCCTTCTCGCTTCTATATTTCTTGCATTTTCTCTACATTCAACCCCACATGAGTCTCGCAACTGGTACTACTACGCTTCGGTGTTCAGATTATAATTATTTAGCTTTGCTAAACTGGACCACTCTACATCCAATGCTGTCAAGACCTCTTGGTCCTTACTACTTTCCTTTAGCCTTTTCACCGTAACTATTTTAGTTCGAACTTCCCAAACTTCATCTGTGAACTAGAAATTCAGTCCAGAAACCTTTTACAGTTATCAAATCTTTGTGACTTGTCATAAAGACTATGGTGTTGTGGCCACTTTGGCCACCTCACAGGTCCTTCGGGAGGACAATTTTTTACCTTTGTTCATTGCCCTCGGTTACCCATGTCGGCCCTCACTGTGGACTAAGATGTTATAGTGTTGGAAGGGTTGCCCCCATAATGACTGGCGATTACTTCTCAAAACTAGTATTGGAAACCTTGATTACCTTCTGTGCTCCAAGACCTCGTAGCTGGTTTCAGCGGTTATTCATCACTGTTCATCACGATGTGTTCGCACGAAAGGAACTTAAAAAAACATCAAACTATCCTGCTCAACAGACCAAACTTATGTGCTCGTTGGCTCTGTAGGTATGGATATTGATCATCTTTACCTATGGAGCCTCATGTAACAGCACAAATCTCTCTTCACTTTGCTTATACATCCGCTCGATGAACTTTCGCATCATTTACTCCTTTCTATGTTGAAGGTGATTGGTGTAGCGTTTCACCTTATCGTCCTTCTCTCTGCACGTTTCTGTGGTCTTCAACCACATTCAGTCTTAGTGATAATTCATTGCCTGATGTATGTTCCCATAGACCAGACCGAACTCCACAGCCAGTTTGAGTATTGATTAACGCATGGTTACCTGGTGAGCTATCTGGTTACCCATCATGTCGCTTCCCGTATCTCTTTTTGCTCTTTTTCAGGGTTTTGACGTATCTAGTTACTACAATCTGCAAGAGGTTTTGTCGAAGCGCATCTACCTCTGTCAATGTCTGTGCTCACTCATCATCTTGCAACCCGGTACGTTGCAGCTTTCCGGTGACTTCTGCCATGTATCTATCCCGTTGTTACAAGTTCGCCTGTGAGGTGATTGTATGGAATGGCACTTTCACTGCATTTCGCTTTTATCAACATTTTATCCGGCTTGTTGTAAACAGGGGGCCACTTTCTCATGAAGTTCTTCGACACATTCACGGAGTTCACTGCTCACCTGATATTTCTGATGAGTCATGTGTTCCGGGAAATAAACGTCATAAAACCAGTGACAAGTCGGCCCGCAAATTCTGAACGGTGAGTTACAAATGAACCTTATGTCAGATCCATTTTATCACCTCCATCCTCTGGCTATTTTCCTAAACATTCCAATTGGAGGAGACATTTTTCATGCAAATTTAACACTGTCTACAGATGCTTTGTATATATATGAATAAGGATTTCGTACTAACAGTCATTTTCATCCACGTGTTCTCTAAGCCACGAGGGGATGAATTTATTTTGGTTGCTCTAATGGTGTAACTTGCTTTCGGTGATCTTTGCGTCGTTACCTGTGCTCGATTTGTGTCCATGCAATCGATCGTGCTTTCCCAAGCAATCGTTGTTGGGTTTTTCCTAACCTCTCCTTGTTTTCCATTACTACATGCATTCACAAGTTGGACCCGGATTTTATAATAGACCATCTCCACAGCTATTTTTTCTTATTAGTAATATTATTGTCGCACACAGTACAAACCATGTGTTAAAAGTGTCAACACGGAACTACTGAATCTGGGTTCAGATTCCCAGGCCCGTGTATCTCTAAGTACTGACCCGAATTCATGTCGAATCAATTGTGAAGCTCCACTCAGTTAAATAACTGTGATCTTGGCACCGAGGTGCGGTGGATCTAGTTGCCACGACCCACATCGCAAAATAACAGTTAATAACATCGGCAAATGGGGTCAGGACAAACTCGCGAAGGTAATCGGGATGGAATTGAAATTGACAGCTAGATGCAAGAAACCGTTTGCGTGATTGCGCCATGTCTGATAGAGTCTCCAGCCACTAGTGTGGACCATTCCGAGACCCCTGTCCACCAAGACGGCATGCACTAGCCTGACCAGGTCTCTCGGTCAGTCTATTCATGCCTTTATGCCACTTCGTCGACTAACAACCACATCGCCGTTTCGCCTAACTTGGCGTATAATGCGCGCTGGAGAAGTGGATCGACGGGTATACGTAGGACATAACCTATCCAACGTAGGCTATCTTAAGGTGCAATTTTGGCATTAGATAGCACCAGTATTGCCCCAGCTAATCAATCATCATTTGTAGATCCGTGCTATTTTCTATCTCCTTTTGTTTCGGATTATTTAAGCAGCCGGTATAAATCAGGCTCCTCGAGCAAATACACGGTTTGAGCAATAGACCGAAGTGAAATAAATTCTATTCCATAACTCTGCTTATGTCACGTTAAAGAGACATTGGTTGACATCTTTTATAAAGGCACTGGCACTCGACCCCAGCTCATGCATTGTGAACTTTGCTGCGTTGGCTTGGAGTACATGATCCACTGACTGTCTGTGATTGCACAACACACCAACCCACTCTAGATAGCTTCTTCAACTGGAATTCAAATCCGTGCATGCTCATTCGCGTTTGAACTTTGTTGCCGCCGCATCACATATTGTTCTCGATAGGTGTTGGCAGGGCATTGGAAAGTACATTCTGTCACAAATGTTTTTCCATTGTTCATTACTTGCATGCTGAGTGGCCAAAACCATCCCTCATTAGTATCTCCACTGTCAGTCCCGTGTCACTCACCTACCTAACACCTTTGAGATCCGCTTGAACAGCTATCATTGATGCCGTTCCCACATTGTATAGTCCCCTTAAGCACCGACTTTTGCTTATCTACAGTGCTCTTATTGCGCATTGGGTTCAACTCCTCTCTCAGATACTGTTTATTCCACAATCACACTAATTCCAGTTTTGAACCTGTTCCTTGCCAGTTTCCCTCATCTCATCTACCACTGATATAGTCTTCCTGATGTGCATTTACTGATGCACTTAATCCTGCTGTTTGGCCAAATATTCGTATTATCGATCTGTGGTCTGTATTCTATCAAATTTGATTCTAGGTACGGTTCCTACCACTATGCCCCTGTTCCATCTAGAACCGGAGTCTCTACTTTCGCTTCCTTGTACTCCAGCCACTGACAATCCTCCCCACCATCGCCGTTGACCTTTAAGTCACTATCCGGATGACAGTTTGCCGGATCGGTAGCAAAATTATTACCGACGTGTAGGATTCGACTGACTTGTGGCCTCGGTTGCGGCAAATGAGGATTTGCTGACGAAACCACGATGCGGCGGGAGGTCCCGGTTGTTGTCACTATATCAGCAGCCATAGCGCCTGTACTTGTGGACCGATGGCAACACCTGCCGCAGCACTGTTTTCAACTCGCTCCTGCCTTTTTGCGCTATCTTCACAGCTATGTTCCTCTAATCATCTGCTCACTTTCGCTATACATCTGCACTAGGTTTGGCCAATTGGCAGGAATGAAACCCGTTCTGGCTCATTGCCTGGCTTTGCATCTGAGTCGTTACAGGCCACCTATCCGTTTAATCATCGAGTTGTCACCATCATGCTTCGTTCATACTTGGTGTTTCTTCGCGTGTTCTATTCGCAATTACTGTCTGAACCGTAGTTTACCCTGATCTGCTCTCGCCCCCTGGGGTGTAACTCTATGTATGGCAGGTTCTGCACAGCATGGCTGCATATAATCTCGCCCGTTTTTATGGTCGAGGTTGCTCTCTGTGTAACCCTCAAAGCCCCTTGTGACGAAACTGATGTCAAAGCGATATTTCCCAGACTATATGATCGAAGGCTCTAACCTAGCTCCACGCTTTTCGACTTGAACATCTGACAGAGCTTTACCGAAAGCCAGTTAAGGACCATTTACAGCATTCCTGCTGTGCCGTGCTCACATATGCTCACAATCAATTCCTTAGCCTCAACTTTGCTGATTTCACGTATCCCACTTCTTAGCATAGCCAGCTAGTGTGCATAAGTGATGCAAAGGTGTCCATTTATTCACCTTTCCATCTACTATTCCACAACTTGTTTCGTTGTCAAAACATTGTGGTATCGCAACTTCTGGTATTTCTCTATCGTGAAAGGATCCAGTTTATTGTCAGCTTCTGAACAATGCTCCAATCGGCACTTTATGTCAACTATTTCTAACCGCTCATTTGAAATTCTCTGCTGCTCGTTCCAAACCTACTCCGCTTGACACTTCCCAACACCTTTATCCATCTTTCTTCATCTTCAGATATCTACTTTTCAAGACATTACTTTCTACCTCTACGCAAATGGCAGGTTGTCCGCCTGCTCCATCGAAAGTGCTCGGAGCATCAGGCGATAATAATGCTAACTGCACTTTTCGTCAGAGCGTCCGAAAGTCACGCACCGATGGTCACTCCAAAACATCCTTGGCATTTGAAGCACAAGAGGACGATAAGGATCATGGTATTTTGGATCGCGAGAAGGCGGGCATCGTTGGTCAGTTGATCTATCATCTTATAGCGGTGAACGAGGCACTGGCACACACCACTTCCACGGATGAATTCGATGTGCTTCGCCTGTGTCACCCAGCCGCTGTGACCAAAGATCATCATTTTATACAGTTCCTCAAGAGGGTCAATGAAGAGTGCGTGCCCCTGTTTTCCCAATTATTCTGTTACTATCTGCTCGTTTGTCCTGTTCGTCATTCTGTTTCCAATCTGATCACAATCTTTACTAGGGTTTTCTGCCCTACTGTTTGTTTCCCTCAAAGTTTTGGAAACCGATAATCTGGTAGTCTGTTTGTATGTTCTACGCGCCGTTGCCATATAAGGCTTCATGAACTCATCGGGTTTCGAATACGCCCCGCGTATGTCTTGTCATCCGGCGAGTGCAAAAATTGTCATGGAATGACAATTGCTCCCCGAATTCCGGATATTTGTCTAATCCCATCTTCCGTCCAGGGATTCCGCTTTGTCCCACAAGCTTGCACCGAGTAATACACATCATTTCTTAACCTTTAACCGCTAGTTTATATATACTGTCCACTGGTTCATACTTTATGTTACATAAACGGTCAACACTTAGTGGACCAGTCCAACAGTGACTCTTCGTTTGTTTATAATGCAGCCATCCGTTCAACCTTCTTATACGGTTGTGAAATCTGGCCCGTCAGGTCGACAGACATAAAAGGCTGATCATGTTCGATCATCGTTGCCTTCGCAGCGTAACGCATGTTTAGTGGGAGCACCGCGTGAGCAATGAATGTGTCTAACGTTGCATGTTTGGTGCTGGAAGAGCGAGTGAACCACTCAGCACCATTATATCACGCTCCACGCTCCGATGACTAGGCCACATGTTGCTAATGCCAGGACATCGACTCCCTCGGCGTGCGTTGTTTGCGCGCCGGGGTTGCGGTTGGAAAATGAGGATGGGAGTCCAAGCGATGACTTGGTCGAGAGAAATGAAAACTCTCACTTCGAAGTTGGTGTCGGTTTGTGCATCTCGGTTGCCTGGCAGGGGTCCTAAGGACGATGAACACGTTTGGTTGGACGAAGAGCCGACCCTAATGGCGTTTGTCCACTCCTTACAATTGTGATCTCATACGAACTGCATAATATAATATTTAACATTATAATACTTGCTTTTTGAATTCGTTGTAGTGTATCTTTTCAGTATCTTCTCTTTTTGTATTGCGGCACATTGTCTGATCTGTGTTTCACACCCTCAGCTAACGTGTATTGATGATAGTGATGATGTTTGCGTTCATGGGCTTAAGCTGGCGGGGACGTATTCTGTTTGTTATTCTCATAGTGGAATGTTTCTTCACTGAACACCCTGACATTCTGTTTGTGACTACCAGGTGGCTAATCGCTTCCGTATATATTGTTTGCTCGTATCGATTGATATCAGCCTTTTGTGCCGAGCATCAGTTAATTAAAGAACTGTAGACTCAGTGTTGCACCACCGACCGCCAAGCAATCAGTCCGCGTAGACACGTAACTACGGCTGTTGCCCCTAGCCTAGTTTCGCTTCCAATAGACTATCTGGTTTGTTTTTCCAGCCAATTTGTTCGCTGCAATCGGGAACTCCTATCATTCATCCCGAACTCATTCCTTCGGGTTTGTAATGTGCGAACGTCATCATCATTATACACGTCAGCTAGAGGTGGGAAACACCTCAGCTACTGTGCCGCAATACATAAAGGAAAAGGAAAATAAATACAACAGTTGCATGCCAGCTGAGCTACCAGCAACGGATGGGCATCGTTCCGGTAAGCTATCAGCCGGCTACTAGGCACAAAGAAAAAGTATTATGTTTTGTGCTACGAAATGAGATGGTAGGTGGAGGGGAGGCTAAAAGGGATGGGGACGGAAAAAGAAACTCACAGCAGGAACGCCAGTGAGGTCGGCTCCTTGCCATGTCAGCAAGTGTATCCAGCCAAACGTGTTCATCGTCTTTTGGACCCCAACCAGGTAGCCGTGACGCTCCAACCGATGCCAGCTCCGAAGTGAGGGCCTTCATTCCCCTGGACAAAGTCATCGCTTGGCCACCTCTCCTCTTCTTCCATCCGCATCTCCGGTGAGAAAACAACCCACGTCGTGAAAGCCGGTGGGCTGGCATGCGCAACACGTGGCCGAGCCATCGGGGCCTGGTACGTGAAATGACGGTGCTGAGCGTTTCAGTTCCTTTTTCTGTGTTGCAAACAAGGCGTCGAACACGCTCGTTACTCACGCGGTGTTCCCACCAGATGTGAGCCAAACTGCGAAGGCACCGGCAGTCGGACGTAACTAGCCTCTTCATGTCCGCCGATCTTAGGGGCCAGGTTTCGCAACCGTACAGTAGGGTCGAACGTACCGGTGCAATGCACACTCTACCCTTCAGGGGGAGATTGATGTCGCGCCGCCGCCATAAGTGGCGAAGGTTAGCAAAAGTACTTCGAGCTTTTGCTATACGGTTCGTGATCTCGTCTTCGATCCCAAGGGCGCTGATACAACTTCCCAGGTAGTTGAATTTCTGAACGACTTCTAGCTGATCCCCACCAAGGGTCAGTGCAGGAGGCGATCCCTGTCAATCTTGGAGGAACGCTTTGTATTTCCATGGTGCAAAGCAAGGCCCGAAGCGGCTGACAGCCAGTGCTAATCTGTCCAGCGCGGCTTGGCACGTCTGGGAGCTGTCACGGATGAGGACAATGTCGTCTGCATACTCTAAGTCAAGAAGTCGTTCTCCTGGGAGTAGCTCCACATCTTCCAAGTCATGTCCTGTAAATACAATCTCCATGACTTCGTCAATAGCGAAGTTGAAGAGGAAAGGTGACAGCGGGCATCCTTGTCTCACACCGCTGGGGATATTGAAGGGTGGCGACAGCTTGCCGTAAGCCCTCACTCTGCCCGTGCTACGCGCGTATAATGCCTGGATAATGTTTACCTATTTCTCGGGCACACCTTTCCTGAGTAGACAATTCCAAAGGGCACATCGATCAACCGAATCGAAGGCACCTTTGATGTCGAGGAAAACGACTAGGGTGGGCCGCCAATAATGTGACGGTGCTCCAACAACTGACGCAAGATGAACATGTGGTCGATGCAGCTACGACCCCGACGAAACCCGACTTGCTCCTCACGAATCTGGCTTTCACGAGCGCCAGTCAGTCTGTGAAGGATTATGAAGGCGATGGAGATCAGACTGATTCCTCTGTGGTTGCCGCATTCCGAACGTAAGCCTCGTTTGAAGATGGGAACAATAACGGATCGGCTCCAGTCGGTTGGGACAGTCTCCTGCTCCCACAGTTATATTAGTAATTCATGTAAAACATCAACAAAAGTAGAGCCTACGAGTTTGAAGAGGGCTGGAGGAAGATCATCTGATCCCGCGGCTTTGTTCAACTTCAACAGTGCGATCTCACGTTCGACTTCTGAGCGAGAGGGTGGATCCAAAGGGACAAGCCACAGAGCAGGGCGATCACTGGCCGGCGAAGAATCGAACAATTCTGGCTGATTAAATTGCTTTTCAAAGGGCTCAGCCCAACGCTCCAGACGTTTTGACAAGTTGTGGATAGACTGTCCACTATCGTCAGGTATAGTTTCACTAACACCAGGTCTCCTTATGCCCGTTTCCCGTATCAGACGGAATAACTTAAGATGGTTGACAAGGACAGCGGCCACTTCTATCTCTGACGCACGATGAGACCACCAAGATTCGCGGTCTCTCTTCAGGCTAGCATGGAGTCTTGCTCGGAGCTCTTTGCGAGTTTCATTGTGTTCTCTTCCATCCGGGATATGCCGGCGAGCATCGATAAGTTCCAGAGACTTCGAAGAGACCCAATGTCCATGTTGGCTATTAGACATACCACATGAGGATTTGCCCGCTGCTAGTAAGGTCTGGAGAACATGTGACCAGTAACCATCAATTGTCTCGGCCGATTGCCGAGTGGTCTGCACGTTTGTTTTGCAACCGTAAGGTCGCCGGTTCGAATCAGCGTAGGGGTGGGCGTCCTCGCGGTATACTCAGCCCGCGCGCGACTGGTGGTGGTCGCGCGGCAGCGAAGCGCCGTTACGGCGTATAAGCTGACACATCTCGTCTCTCCAGTGAGCGCTAACTCAACTCGCATGTCAGCGTACTTCGATACGCATTCAGAACAGCTAGCTTTGTCAATTGGCTGGTGTCAATGCGCTCACAGCGTCGTCGTGGGCGACCGCCAAAAGGCATCCGCATGTCAGCACATACAAGTGCATGGTCGTTGTCCACACATGTGCTCCACATCGAGCGACAGTTCTGGATGCAGCCTCTCCAGCGGTAACTGATAGCAACGTGATCGATCTGCGTCCATGGCTGGTTCGAGACTGGTGGGCGCCAGGTCATCCTCCGGCGAGTGCTGTGTCGGAATTTAATGCTCGCAAGAAATAAGCGGGCATCTTCACGCAAATGAAGTAACCACTCACCGTTATCATTACGGGAGCCTACACCGTGTTGCCCGCCCAGATGCAGTTCATTAGTGGACAACTTTCCAACCTGTGCGTTCAGATCCCCATCCAGCCCAAGTGTCCTTGCTTCTTCTGTGGCGAAGGAGCTGGGTCATTTGGCGGTAGAAGTCGTTCTTTACCGAATCATCGCTACAGTTTGTGGGCGCGTAGGCAGCGATAATGAATAGACACCTATTAGTCCCTCGCGACTTCGAAGCTTTAAACGAGCCAGCCAATCGGACGGCACACAACCGGCTACTGATTGGGATCCAGTCAACCAGAACAGCTTCAACCCGGGGACTCAGGGCAATACCAACACCAACTTGGCCGGTGCTCGAAGCTGCATCGTCACCGGATAGGTGCAACGAGAAAATACTGCTTTCGTCACCTGAAGGGGATCGTACAGTGAGCACAGAGCTCGAGTCTTGCAGGCGGGTCTCCGATAAGCAGCAGATATCGATCGAGAGGGTCTCCAATGTTCGGGCAAGTGCTGCCTGTTGACCGATCTGTAGTGGTGTGCGTACATTGAGACATGCCAATCTGAAGGAGGATCGAGGGCTCCAGATGGAAACCGATGAACTGAAATGGACCGCTTGGTTGGATATGGGCTTGTCGACAGGAGAGGATTGACGCTCCGCGTTAGCATGTGAGTTGAAATTAGAAGATAAATGCCTAGCAAAGCATGTTGGGGGAGGGCCAAAAATCGGGGGTTAAAAACTGGGGGATAAAAGTGAAATTGGAACGGGACAGTAAAAGTGAAAAAGCGTAAGATGGGGAATACGAAGACGGGAAGGCTTGAGCAGTAGCATCCAAACCCCTATCCACCCTGCTCGATGCAGCAAATAGGGCACTGTTGATTATCCTCTGCGGTGGCCAGAGCATCAAGAATTGTTTGACGAATGATTCATAATATTGATTTGCGAGCGGAGATAATCTTAGAAATAGATTCTTTTAATCTCTGTCATCACGGTCTTTTCCGATTTTTAACACCACTAGCTGTTGAGCTTGGAATGAACCGAATATCATTCGGCTCTGCATCGTCCATCATTTACTGTCGCGCTGTCGTCCCTATGCACCCGAACTCATCGTCCAATAAGTATCTAAGTACTTGGCACTAAATTTCACTAACCGTAGTACTTGATTTCTATAAGTCGTACAGTCTTGTTAATAGTTGTCGTACTTCCCGGTGCTTTGATTATACCCTGGAGATCGCGCACTAATCGCTGAGATTGCTCACCGTTGGCCACAGTCCTGTCATAGGTCTTCTTTTTTCTAACGGATTGCGATGTTTCCTTCACATGTATTGCTTTGTTTGAGATCCACCACTTTGCTTTTCTTTTCGCCTGCGATCGCGACTCCGCACCAATCTATGTTGTTTGCCAAGCGCTGAAGTCCTGCGCTATTCTCGGTAGCTATCGACTGACGATAGTCGATCACTGCCGGTATAAGACACATTCGCAACGTAACCCTATCACAACACCTTACCTCCGCTGATTGATTGCTTGCATCATCATTCGCCCCTGCTTACAGATTTGCAGAGTTTCAGTGTTTGGCGCTGTCCAAACTACTTACCTTCGCAAGCAATCCGCAGCTTTCTGAGCCTGGACAGTTAGAGATGAAAGAGAAATGTTTGAAAAAATGGCAGGTGAGCACACCGTGGGGCTTCATGTTTTGCTCATCATAATGCTGCTTCTCTCCATTTGTTGTTACTCTCATCGTGTTAACTCACCGGAGATGTTGGAACTCAGGTTTTCTTTGCAATGCTATTTGCCGCTTTTCCGATATTGTGTTTGTTTGACCAGCCAGAGTTGTTTTGCTCTACTAATGTGAGGGAAACTTCGTACTGCTGACCTCAAATCTCCATTGTGATCTCAGGCTGCTCTACTTCAACGATTCCCTGTCTTGTTCTTGTTTTTTCCCTAGTTTTGCTTGCCTGCCGGGCGACTTCGTAGTATCACTACCCCCCACGCGCCATCTCTAATGGTCGCGTTGCGGCGAAGAGCCGGTACGACGTGCCAACCCGACTGCTGATGCTCTCAGCGTTTTGACTTGATTTGGGAAACCTGCCTTCAAATTTTGTTTGCTAATATCATTTCTGGTGTAAAATATCCATTTATTGTCTATCTCAAGAAGAAACAGAAGCAGTACGCTTGAAGCGGAGGATTGTTTTTTATTTATTCATCGTCAGGCTTACTAAAGTAGTATACGTTGTGCAAAGTCCAGCTCATTCGAAGGAACAGAGATTGGCTATTGATGGGACGAAATTAAACGGTTTTCATAACACGCGTCAGGTGGTCGAGTGATTGAAGATACGTGGCGCCTTTTAACGAGAATCGAATGGTTGTTGGCGAGGGTAATTGCACTGCGTGGACGAGCTTCTTCTGCCTGCGTAGATGCGGTTTTCTCAATCGGCTACATGCTGCTTCAGCAGTAGCAAGCAGCTGTGCCCCTGACCGGTGCTTCGGTTACAGTGTTGCTCTATACCGGATTTCGAAAGCATTGCGTTTGTCTATTAAATGCCCATTGCAAACCAGTTGGCTAATTATTACATTCGAACTAGCACTGTCCCGCTGATTGATGGGCTAACTCGGTAGATGTTCCTTGATTCACTTTCTTAGGTGTCTGGTCGTACGTTTGAGGTACCTAGCCCAGCAAAAGCAGTTGAATCGGTGGATTTTCATTCATTTATCTTTGAATCTAGGATTTCTTAAAGATTCGTTCGTAAAGGGGATGTTAGGTTCGGCTACATTAAGGTACACACCAGTCCTCCTATACCCATCTCCGCCGCTATGTCACCCTTAAGACAAAGTTTGACAAACGGTTGTTTCTTCTCGTCCTTCTACACTGCGGATCTCGGGCTGCTTGGCTTCATATATGTGTCGAGGAAGCGTACTGGACAACTGTTTTTAAGAATCGTCTGTTTGATTCGCCTCAGCTCATCTTCAATTGTGCTCTCGCTGCAGATCTTGGGTGCACAGTTCATCAGCGTGTGTACCAGTTTTCTCTTGCAACTGAGTAGAATAAAGCTCTTGAATATGTATTTATTGCCTCACCCGTTATGATTCCCTGTATAATCCTATCGGGGATGATCCCTGTTCTCTTCTCCTTAATTTCGCTTGCTTGTTACTTTTTCCTTGGCTATGAACGAGACTTTGCGATGTGCTCTGTTGAAACTCTTGACGACATTCTGCAGGCTGTTGTCTGATCGTTTATCCATAATACGTCGTCCGCATAACATCGGTAGACCATACCATTTTACTGATGGATATATAATTCCTTTCAAATATCAGCATTCCCTTTCCTCTCACCAGATGATTTATAAGTAACATAGACTTTTTTATCCCCACATCTGTTCTCTCCCTATCGCATGCTTTATGTCAGCTCAGCTCAATCGAACGTCAGCCTAGACCATGGCCGCTCTTATCAATCAATCCTTCTCCACTCATTCACCATGTTCTCGGAGTGAGTTCTACTCTTTCCGTCCGCTTTTCATGTACCACTGCTCACCTTTGTAGCGCATACGCCTATTCCTTCAACCAGATCCGACGCATTCTGTCTGACAGCTGAGCTTTGGTGTTTCATTCCACCTTTGTTTTAACACATCTAAGTTTTTTTATAAATACTCTCAGTGTGAATAATTAGTAACCTTACTAAGTACCCGTGTGATCTGCTCTCACTTTATTTGGTTACATTCTAACGGACGATTTTCCTTCAACTCGCTTGTCCGGAGTAACATCAGCAGGTCTCGCTTATCGCGCATTATGAGTAACACATTGCTGCTATGGGCCACGATAAGCTTGAGACCTCAGTTAGGTTGCCACGGGATTCCGTGATCTAAACGAACAACCCTTTGATAGTTGTGATTGGTGCTCTAGAAATGGATCGTAGCTGTGATGACATCATCGAGACGTTACACTTCATCACTGAAACAGATGTAGTACATTTTTGCAATAGTTACACAAACCTGACCGTATGCTAAATGGGGTTCACGGGAAATTCTGTTTGGTCCGGGTAACTGTTGCATCCCGCCTCGTTTGGTTGACTATTCAAGTGGTTCTCATAGTTTATGCTCACTGATTCCCCGTGACTATGTAGCTCCGAATCACGCTTACATGGTAGTGTTGTCGTAGTTAATCTTCAACTACCTAGACCATATTACGTTGCTATTCTATTAGCATTAAGCCAATAGCTACCAATATCTACCCTAATTATGTTGAGTTCCACACAAATTATGAGAGCGATCCATCCAAATTGCTTCCACTACATAACCTGCGTGCATCCAGTACGATTTTGAGCCTCGTCGAAGTGCATTCCCGTTCTACTGCCAATTTCTCGGAGGCCATCAGAAGCTAATTTCATCTGCAATTCCCATCCTTTACTAATGCGGTGTACTGATCACAGGTGACATCAATACTTACTGATCACCTATCGAATTTCGAAGAATTTGGTCGTTTCCATGTCTGTGCTTATATGGCTAATAATGACAATGGATTTCTTCAACTAATAGCCGAACAAAACGTCATATCACTTTTTCGAACAAACAAATCAAACATTTCTTTAAGTTCCCCACTTGCAGATGCTTACTAGAATTCTGGCCGACCGCGGACCCGCGAATCCCGACCACTAACGGAAAGAGAACCACTCTCTAACAGAGTGACCTCACACGCGAGGAATAATGCGGAACGATGGCGGATGCCACGACTGAACCGCGAACCGGCTAGTGAGAGGAGTGGTCTTTAGCAAGGGCACTTGTACTGATTCATTCAAAGCCGAACGTAGGTTCTGCGTTTTTGTAGCACGGTTCATCCAGTAAACCAAAGCATTAGTCAGGGATCACGGTGTATCAACACATATGATTTATCACATAACAGCAGGGTACATTGGGTGTGCGTGAATACTGAGAATTGAAAGCTGGTAGACATGCGCCGCCATTAGTTCGTGTACGTGCGCTGAGTTACGCCACTGATTTCTGAGCGTCTGCTGTCTATTACAGCCGCGCTGTGTGCTAGTTGGGTGCGATGCGCTCCCTTAATCTGAACTCCGCCAAGTTGGTGTCTAGGAATTGCTTGAATTTCGACGCTGATTTCGCCTCGACAATTTTCGCAGTCAATTGCTCCGATACTTCATCACTCGCCACTCGAAGCATAGAGAGTTGGCTATCCGCTTTAGGTCTGGTACCACTAACTTGTATCGATGCCCGCGAATGCTGCTTGGTGCGCGCACTTGAAGCAGTGGCTTCAGCATCATACTGAGAGAAACTAAGGTATGACTAAGCAGACATTTGGGTGGTCACATAACGACCACCTATCTGTCTACGTGGGGGATGTTGTGTGAGGGCAAATACAGTGTGGATAATTTAATTCACCAAATCACAAACTTGATGCGAATGTCAGCGTTCTCGCGTACAAGTGTTTACATCACTGAACGAAACGATACCCATGACCCAAATTGAGCATATTGCTACTAGCTGAAGGCAGTCTATGTTAACCCAAAATTGTCTATGCGTGGATACATGGCGTTCATTCTTTCGTTTTCAGCGAAGCGTCAGGCTCTGTGGTTACTTATCCATCAGTTGGGTTCGCAGTCCATCAATACCAAGACGAAGTTGTTTGTCAAACATCACTGAGGAATGAATTAGTTAACTGCCTATTGCAGTTGTCTCTCTTGTATCATGAAGAAAACTCTCGAAACAAATTGTCCGCCGGGTTCGCATCCATCGAACTATGCATGTTTCTGAAGTGTTAACCAGTTTACTAACAACAGTTAACTCAGTTGTACCGGATTCTCGATTTTACAGTGTCCGTAACTTTCTGTGTCGGGTCCTCGCTGGCGTTTCTAGAAGTGGTCCTGGTGAACGCCGAAGGATGTTGAGATAAGGAACCCAGTGCCATGAATACTGTTCCAACTCATCCTGAGCACGGTTTCAAGACATTTGTTAGTTTGTGAAACAATGGTTACGGAAGATTGGCTGGTTATCCATTTCCAAACACATTAAATAGATTTGCTGAGTGGAACATTTTGTAGGAGCTCTGTTTGACCACTGTGACTCCAGTATTTGCTGTCATCCGAACTCGTGTTGGACGTCGGCGCCACGATTTGAGGAAACTTAACTTTCCCTGCTGGTACGGGACAAGGTGCTTGGATTCGATGTCTTTCCTTTATATTTACCAAAAGGTGAATTAAAGTCATTTGTGGGTGGTCCAGCCGCAGTGTTCATTACACGGGACACCGAAAACTGCCTTCAGAACGATGACTGTCGACTACCACCAGTATTGTCGGTCTCACCACCATTTTCTCGTACCTTCCCATTGGCACTGTATGGCATTCCTCACAGGTCCCTGTCACAGCGGAATTTTCCAGAGCCTAGTTGACGTTCGCCATAGCCGAGGATGCATTGACCGCATATTTGAATCATCTAGTTTTGGGATAGCAACACGTACACAGACTACCTAACACTTGAAGTCCGCGTTTGACTCATTCAATGGATCTGCCTGCCGTTACTATGCCAGGGAAACTCCTGTGTATCCGGAATTCTCTCCTTGGCGAATTCCGAAGCCGTGCGAGGTGAGTTAACTGGGACTCAAGCTGTGCTACGCTGCGCAACAACGCGCCAATGATATCATCTCGATTTGGGATGGAACGTCTGCAGCAAAACTGCCACGCTCAGCGAACAGTTCGACTGCCACCTTGAGTGCTCTTTTGTTGCCCCATATCCTTTGTTTTCTTCACTTTCGATTTCCATACGACTGCTAAGTATTCTGGCCGATCACCATCTCTAGGGTGACAGTTTTACCACGCGTGAAACTGTTATGGTGACCCAACGTCCCCACTAGATCGCAGACTGTAACCACGGAAGTCCATGAGACTCGCATTCAGACCAGTACACATGTTTCCATCAGCCTTTGTACCTAAGCAACCTTCCTGCTTCCGGCCAACTTCCGCAATCATGAAACATTCAGCCTTTTTCACTTAAGAAACAATCATTTTTTCAGTCCAGCCTTCACATCTACCAGTATTCACTTTTCCTGGTGCCAATTCATTTGCTTATGCCTTGCTTCCAGGTTTTGCTTACGCAAACCATTCTACGTGAACAATTCACATATTTCACAATCGCGGTATATAATCAAAGCTGGACTGCGCTGTAATCGCCTTGAGCCTGGCCGGTAAAAGTGCCTGTAGCGAAAGGCCTGTCTTTTGTCTTATCTCTCTCGGGTTCGGGTAGTCACGTGTGAAATTGTGTTCGGTCTAGGAGCCCGTTCAACTTGCGCGTAGTAACCGTGTTGTGCCTAAGTCGCACGAGTCGTGCAAACTTCGAATCTTGTCGATTACATTGTCGTGCGTGAATATGGTTCCAAGTCACATTAGTTCGTCCGACTAGGAGAGTTGATACTAGATCGTCTGAACGTGGCGTAATCAAGAGGGAGTCATAACAGAAACGGAACAATCAGATGACATTGTTTCTTTTTGAATGAAATCGTGCATCTGTAAAATGGCTACTGAGAAGATGACGCTGAGCTTCGTCACTTCGAAATGCGCAATCCATGATTACAGGGCTAGATATAGGTGCCATCGGCTCTAATTTTCACCTAGCGACTCACTCGACGTAACTCATGGTTCCGCTCGTTTACCATTTTATGTCACTTCCAAGTGGTTACATCACGTATCAGCAAATCCAATCTGGTTTTTCTGAGCCTTAATTGTTTATTGAGTAGGTGGGAACTCACCTCATCATTTAGGAATAGCGTATACAACGCTTTGCCACAGTTGGCACTATTGTATAGGTCGGTAGCGTTGTTATTTATTGAATATATTAAAAGAATGCTCGTCTTTGATCCACAGTTTTTGTAGGGTACTTCAGCAAAGTGGGAATACCAGAGGTAGCCAGTTGGCGTTTGAAGAGATACCCTCTGGTGCCTGACTGGAGTGTCTGGCGATCAGTGGACCGCTTACCTTCTCACATATTTGGTGACTTATCTTGCGTTTGCATTAGTAGCAGTTTTGCATTGGAGCAGGGGAAACGGTTGGGTGGCTAACGACTCCAAACATTTAGCTAATCGATTCTTTCGCGCATATACTACTGTCTTTGGTTATAGTGTCCCGGCGCTTTGCCGCAATAGTCGTTAAATTTTTTTCTGACACACGCCTGTGTCTGAATTTCTGACACTTTTCTGTTTAGTTTCTTTTACCCAACTGTTGACCCTCCCTCGGATTGTCATTTAACTTTCGCAGACCATCATTTCTCATTTTAATCAGTATTTCTACGAACGAACTCAATTCACGCCGTCACACGTTATCATTTTGTGCATTTGATCTGATGCGGCTTCACATCGGCTAGTCTCTGTCCACTGTTGATTCGGCTTCCCTACTTATACTAATATCTCGGTTTTCTTGCTCCTGTGATGAAGTGGGTTCAGCTGTAGACTTCGGGCAACTCACGGTTTTTGCGCAACTATGGAGGCTACTACTTCGCAGCCATTAATCTTTCACTTTAGCTCCCTCCAGCAGTCGAGCTTCAGGTGGCTCCGATGTATTGACACCCAACATCACTCGTCACATCTGCGATCTAAATGCCTCTCCTGGATTCCGCTTTGTTTTTGTAAACGTACACACATCCTACATCACTTATTACACAACACGATGGCTTCATGTCTAGTTCTTAGATTGTTGGTTATGAATATATATACATATATGTCATGTATGGTTCTTAACATTCGTTGTATGCAGTATTTGACATCACAAGGCACCAGCCGAACTCTTTTGCATACATGTTTTACGATTCCCCTTCCACTTGCAGGATGGGGAGAAGATAAAGACGTTGAAACCTGTCCCCATAGAACTCTGCCCAAGTAATCGCATGAGATTCTTCTCTTCCACTGATCTCGAAAGGATAGGATATATCATGAGCAGCCGGATTACCCTCCTCCTTGCTTCACCATCGAAACTAGCATCGTCTGAATTGTCTTCATCGATGCTTATCTACTCTAGGGGCAGTCACACGTCGGTAAGTTATAACTCCATCTGCTGGCCCTCGAGTACCCGGTTCGCATTTTTTCTTACTGCCTATCACCCCTCCTTCTTGCACCATTATTTATGGCGTTATTCGTTTTGTTTACGCATGCCAAGGTTGCTAGCTTGCTACTAACCCTGATCACCTCGACAATACTCCCTCTTCTCTTTATTTTACTCTCCTCTTTCCTCGTCTATTGTACAAGAGACTGCCGCTGACCTTGGTGCTGCTGCCATCGATACATATAGCTCTTCCATCAAACCTAGAGTTTCAGTTCACGTTGGTTCTCTTAACGTCCACACTCTAGGTCAGATCAAGCAGCGAGCAGCACTGGATTTCACTCTTCACTCTCTTGGTATTGATGTGTGTTGTGTCTCCGAAACACACATCCAAGATAACAGCGTCGTGAAAATCTTCTACTCCCTGATTCTGACGACGGCGGCTACAATCTTCGCTGCTCTGACGATGCTGAGTCAATAGCTCAAGGTATTTACGGTGCTGGTGTCGCTCTCAGTAAACATACCGAAGTCAGCCGCACGTATGTGCTTCGACTTCGACTTCTGTTGAAGTTAATATGCAGCGTCTGAAGACCAGTTGCTTTTTCATCGCTTCGGTTTATGCCCTTACGGAGTGCAGTTCAGAAGGTATCAAAAACGATTTCTATCAATCAATCTATTCAATCTATTCTTCGCATGACGAGGAATACTGACATTGTGATGGTTGCTGGTGACTTGAATGTCCAAGTGTGGGTGATGGTTATGGCTATGAGGAGGATGATGATGACGATGGGTCATCTTTCAGACAATGAGCGACACCTAGCCGGTCGTTTCGGAGTCTATCCACGCCGAACAGACAAGGGTGGTCGATTCCTTCAACTGTGCGCCGACTACAACCTTTATCTTAGCAGCACTACTTTCCAGCACAAACGTGCACGCCTTGTGACTTGCCCCCACTGAATTCCTCTATATTCTGGACCCAAATTGTCCATATTGCCAATCGCTACAGATGGCGCACGCCAGTCCAAGATTGTCGATCACTTTGGAGCACGTGCCTGGATTCCGATCATGCTCTAGTGCGCGCACACTTGGCGCTCACTCTTCCCGATTCAATGAATTCACCTATCTTCTAACCTTACCTGTAACTTGAATTTGCAATCTACCTTTCAGCAGTATCATGACAAACTGGCCCGCCAATTTCAGTGGTGAATGTGGTTCATCAGCCGATCGCTGACTGGGATCATCCCAAATGTGTCATGAAGACTGCCATCTTGACGCATGCTGTGAACCCAACTTCAGACGTCCTAAATGTGAATGGATCTCTGCGGCATCGATCAGCTTGACGAAATCACGGGCGCAGGTTCCGATGAGCACTGAGTTTCACCTTATCCGTAACTGCCTTGAACAACGTCTGACAAGGAGTCTTTGTATCGACCGGGAACGTTGGTGGATGGCAAGGACCCGTGAGATGGAGAAATCCGGTGCTATTGGGAGCATCCGAGTGCCATTCCAGCTCATCCGGAGCACGGGTCTGAGAAAGCCATCAGTTAGCGAGACGATACCGAAGAAAGACGGAGACTAGCCTTTGGGCGGAACATTTTGTAGAGAAGTTTGGCAAGTCTGCTGTGATACTGCCGCCTGCCGAATCGTCTGAGCCGGCGCGGGAGGTGGATGTCACACATCCCACTTTGGGAGAGATTCGCCATGAGCTTTCCGTGTTGAAACGAAACAATGCTCCTGGATCCGATGACCTTCCTCCATTTTTGCTAAAAGATGGTGTTGTCTGGACTCACTTCTCTAGTTAACACCATTTGGAACACTGAATAGGCCTTCAGACTGGCGATTGTTAACGGTCGTGCACATCTTCATGTAGGGTCAGTTTGCTTTGTGTGAAAATCATCGAGGCATTAGCCTTGTTTCCATTGTATCCAAACTTATTGGTCCCCGTGAGAACCGAATCACTTAAAGCTGGCTTTCGCCCCGGTCATTTTTGCATCGACCATTTATTTCCTCTTCGTCAAGTTTTATAGCAGAGACACATACGGACAACCGAGTATGGTGGTTTTCCTTGACCTGGAGGCTGTCTTCGACACTGTTGACCACGCCAGCTTGTGGCATTGCCTATCCATTATGCAGCCTCTCTACCGTGACTCCCGAGGCTGAGTGACCGTCTACGGGGAACTATCTCCTGAGTTCCTCACGACAAATGGCGTTCGCTAGGGTTGTCCTATATCTCCTATCTTCTTCATCTTTGTTATCGTAATGATCATGAGTGATTTGATTTTTTTAGACTTTACCGGCGTGGAAGGTCTGTCATGTGACCGACTGGTTAACCCTTAGTATACGGACGAAATAACTCTTCTTGGGTCTGACGCAGTAGCTATGCAAACACGACTGCGTAGACTGACGCGTAGCGCTACACGCTTCGGCTTATGCGTTACACCTTCATAGTGCAAAGTACTGCTGTAGGACTGGATTGGCAGACCTCTGGTTCTATCTACCACCGAACAGCCACTGGAGATGATAGATCGAATCACTTACTTTGGTAGCTATTTCACCTCTGGTAGTCACATCGCTGAGGAAGTTACTCTGCGTATCAGCAATACCCGTGTGGCCTCCCGAAGACTCAACTATCTATGGAGACGGCGTGATATCAGCTTGTCAATGAAAGGTAGGGGTATAACACTGCGGTAAGGCCTGTCTTACTGTATGGGTCATAGACCTGACCAGTTCGTGGCGAACCCATCAAACGCTTGGTGCTTGCGGAGTATCGCTTCCGTCTGGTGGAAACACCGGGTGAGAAATGCTGAGGTTTACCGGTTGGTTTTTGGCAAGAAACGGCCTGATACCTTTCTCGAGTCGCTTGCCTTGACTCGGCCATGTCCTACGTATGTCCATTGACCTGATTCCTCGGCTTACGTCATGCGCCGTGGCTGCATCAAGCTGGGCGAAACCGTGAGGTGTCCAGTCCATGACATGGTATAGAACTATGAAGCAATTCACTGAGAGATTTGGTCGGGTTGGTGCGTGCCGTCTTCGTGAATGGGGCCTCGGGATGGCCCACACCAATGGTTGGAGACCGTATCAGACATGGCACAGTCGTGCAGTCAGTGGTATTCTAGCGCTCAGTTTCTTGCATCTTGTTGCTAATTTTCGTTCTGTTCTGATTAGACTAACGCATTTGCTTCTTGTTTCTATTTTCTTTACATTTTATTTGCCTTTTGTCATCGTTATTTTGGTTATTATTTCGATGTAAGTCGCGTAAACTGGGTTCACCGCACTTCGGTGCTTGGATCATAGTTGTTCAACTGAACTAAACTGATTTACGCTGATTGTTCTACCACGACCAGATTGCTGCATAGTGCCAAACCCATGTACCCCACATCGCCTACTAGACTTAGTACTCAGTGATTCATGGATATGCTGTTTACCAATCAAGTCAAATCAATATGAATTTCATATTCCCGGATGGACGTATTTTCAGCACTTTAAATTATCAACTGCAGATGGACTAAAATGACATGTTCAAAAATGTACAGATGAATTAACACAAGGGAAAGCAGTACATTGATGTTTGTCGAATAAACAGCCCAGTATTCCCGAGCCGCGATCTCACATTGCTGAAAAAAATCCTCGTAGGAGTTTGATTAAAACATTTCTTCATAGTTACTTTCAATCAGCCGTCACTTTCGTGACCAAAAGTAACACATTGTGAGTCAAACGCAGCATCTCGACCTTGTACTCAGAATAATGCATATATATATATATATATATATATATATATATATATCGCATTCATGATGCTTCACCGCAGTTGGGCTAAGCCCACACACTTAAAATAGGTCTTTTTAAGCTGGATAAATTTCATTCCACTTTATTTGGTTTGTTCTGCCTAGCTGTATATTCTTCTATTAACTGACCACTTTGCTTATGCTGCTAGTGGTTATTTTCGTTAACTTTATTGCGTTTGTAGCAAATTTTGACTGACTTGTGTACATTTTGTACTTATCGCGCATTCCTTGATCACCAGCTTACTTCATATGCTAATTTAGCGAAGAGTTATCTCGGCATAGCCGTATGCCTTAACAGATAGATTATATTGGATAATGTCATTTCAAGTGGTTGGTTGTTTTTTGACATCCCAGGTGTGGCTGCGCTTGATGTGTATGTTGGCAAGGTGCCTACCTGTTTACTACCCACTACCTCGTTCATACTGGCTCCAGCAGACAGTTGGTCGTTGCTGGAGGGGACGGGGTGCGCGGTCCTTGTGGTCGTGCTAGGCTCGACAAGTGGTTCCATGCACTCAGTGTGGAGCGGACTAAGGTCCAGCCACCGCCTTGTGTGCGCATGATTCCCCAAATGCAGCGTACTTGTGTTTGCCTGTGAAGGAGTGTGGGCCGGCTCCGTAGATGAAACGTGGCACCCATCCGCATGCCTCCCGGTCTTATTCCTTCGGGTTTACACAGGATATGGAGTGTGTGGTTGGAGCTGTGGGTGATGCAGCGCAAGCCATCCATGGTCCCTCTGTAGGCGCAGGCGTGCTGTGGCTGGCTACAGTGACAGGCAAATCCGGAAACGAATGTTGCCAGCCATATTTGCGTATATTTCTCGAAAATGTGAGAAACTGTTCATAAAGTAGGAACAGATCAGTATCTACAGAAATGTGCATGCTCATGCATGGGTGCGTTACCGCCAATTCTTAGCTTTCTGCTACTTTTTGTACCATCCTGGAATATTTCATCAGGCGAGTTATCGGATAAGAACATGGATGATATCACTTCTAATTCAAAGCATCTATCTAGTTTGGTGCGGAACAAAGTGCGACTTCACGTGTCCTGATCTCGGTTGGTAAACTGTTTCACAAGTCGGCGTATCTGGTGAGGAGAAAGTTGGACCGCATTGATGTTCTAGTCCTTGGTATCTGTAGCGTGAATTTTTTATTACGGAGTCTGTGATTTTTATTGTGTTCTATCTAAGTTAAGTATGTTAGAGTACGTTGTCTGGTACAACAGATTGTGGAAGAGCATCAAGTTTTGCTTTGAATGCCGCAACCAATGAGGCTCGATTTGAAACTGTTTACAACGTTCGCGGTAATTTGGAGTGGATGTGCTATTGAAAAAAAACGTTTCGTGAATGACCTCTGTAAAGTTTCTACAGATTTCCTATCCAACTTTCGCATGCAGTCATAGGTGAAGTTGCAGTATTCGAGAATAGGACGAGTGAGAGTTTTGTGGTATATTTTAGCCACGAATTGCCTAACCGGAGCTATTTGGTATTGGGCTTGTTCAGAAAAACAGAAATCGGAAGAGTAGCGGATTCCAAAATTACGAGTAGACTGCCGTATGGATATACTTTTGTAGTTAAGTTTAATTGACCCATTGGAGATTGGTCAACCACAGGACATAATGTTTGATTTGTCGGTTGAGAATTTTATCAACCACGCCTCAGACCAATCTTAAGGAGATTGAAGGTCTTGAATTAAAAATAGTGTGCTCTGAAGCGCATCACATCGGACTTTGTAATCAATGATGATATCATCTGCAAATAGAAAATGTTGTTTATTTTTGATGGACATGCCAATATCCTTGCTGTAGAGAAAAAGCAGAGGGCCGAGTACACTTCCTTCAATGACGCCGTTGGTTATTAGACGAGGAGCAGAATGGTGATTCCCCAAAGTGACTTTTGAGACCGATTGTTAAGGTAGGATGAAAGCCAACTTAAAGCGGGTTCTGGATTCCAAAGGCTGTAATTTTCTTCAACAACCGTTTGTGTGGTACACGGTCAAATGCTTTTTCTAGGTCCAAAAACAAAATTATTATTGCATAACCGGAGTCTATGGATTCTGAAGTGTAGTTAAGGTAGTGTAGCTGGCAGGTCGTGCAGGAACGTCTATCAAGGAAACCATGTTGAGATGTGTTAAATAGGTTCAGGGAATTAAGGAACTCCATCAACGTTTTCTTGACTACTCTTTCAAACAGAATGGCGATGGTGGGAGTATGATGAATCGGTCGGTAATTGGTAACATTTTGCTTGGGACCACTTTTATGGCGTGGGATGATGAATGAGGTTTTCCAATGATCAGGGAAATAGCTAGTTTGTAGCGATAAAGTGAACATGTTCAACAACAGTAATGGTAAGTCTGGCCCTCCCATTTTAATCGCAGTTGAAGGGATGCCGTCGGAGTCCAACCTGAGAGAAGGTTTGCTGGTTTTCATTAGCCGTTAAATAGTGCTGAGAGAAATTTCGACACTGCTTAGACTTTTGGTTGTAGCGGGTTGAGGGCATTCAGGTACGGGGTCTGATTCAAAAATCATGGAGGCAGCAAAGAAACTGCTCAATGTCTCACAAATTGCAAGTGGGTCACTCAGATTTGCCATGTTCATCTAAGAGTCTCGTGTAAGAAGAAGCGCTATTGCCGGTTCTATGCCGAAGAATAGCGACGCGTTTCTTCGTTTTGTTACTCGTTCGTAGAGCACTTTCTTCCTCGTTTTTGAGTCTCATTACTTGCGCATGTTTGATCCTAGTGGTCCATACATGCACTTGCAATTTTGTCCAAAAATCTCCGGTCCTATGTAATCTGGATAGACGCAGCAAAAGGAAATACCTTTGTATATCTACATCTAAGGTTCCTCAGGTACAATGACCTATTAGCTTAAAGAGCATACCCGACATTTCATGTCGGCTAAGTGCATGTCTAGGAGTTTTCTGAATTCCGACATCGACTTTGCTTTGATTACGTTCGACCGCAAGTTTCCCATGTATTCACCACCCTCCGCTCGAATCAGAGTTGGTGAGCCATTCGCTTCAAATCCGGTACTGCAAGCATGTACCGGTTTCCTCATGTGCTGCTCGGTGTCCTCATGTGGAGCAGCGGCCTCCACATGGGGTACTCTCCAGGATGTAATGTCCGGTGCGTCATGATGGTATCAACTCGCACTCGACACAGTGTACAGCCCTAGTTCACTGCATCGGTTTCGTACAACATATGCCGTAACTAGGGACTGCGTCTGGTAGCTACGTACTGTACTCACTCAATCCTTTCTACCTCGCCTCCGGTCATAGCTCATTGTGTGGGTGAGGCGTGCAACTAGTGAGACGGTCTTAACGACCTTGAAAATAGTTTGAACCAAAAGGTGTGTTGATTTTACTAGACTGATAGGTCCACAGTAGATGATGTAACGACGGTGCGCCATTTACTTTTCTCCTTTGTTAATTGTGTACATCAGGAAACAGAACGCTCATTGCTAGGGCAGCTAAGCAGTACAGTGACTGCGCTCCATTGCCTTTGCGTTCTTTATCATGTGGGTTTCTATCACAAGAAGATAGTTGTTGTACGGCTTTCACACTCCATTAGACCTTCATTTGCACTCTATTTTCGTCCCGTTGCATGAGTGTGGACCACTAGTGGCCTGGCGTCTGTTGACGTTGTTGATTTCAACCGAAGAAATGCTGCGTTCCGTCTTGCTAGCCAGTAACTTTTTTGTTTATCCTAGGATATTCACTGTACGATTGATGGCACTCAATGGGAACGACTGGACCAGATGATTCCATACCTCAAGCCGAGGCTTCCCGCTGGCACGTTGGTTTGGGGTCAGCCAACTTTCGAATACCACAGGAAAGTACGTTCTGGTCCTTTGTATCATTTCTCAGCGCATTTCTTATGTGCTACTATTTACTATCTCTTGCTGATATCTTTCCGCGTCTAAGACTTCACTTAAGAGTTTTTATGATTGTGACAGGGCAAACGGCCTTTGCCACACACGATAGCATATAACGGCATGCCAACTGTTTGGGGACACCAATTTGTTTTAATAAGCAACAACACTTATTTCCTTTATGATCTGTGTTGGTATGTCAACGAAATGACCCAAGCGGTCCCTTTCCAGTTATTTTGGTAAACATTTTTAACTCACAGTTCCTGTGACTTCGACTTACCAGATTCTTTTGTTCGCACCCTTCGTGATTGCTGTACTCATCGTGCACAGCTGGATTAACATTTCTTTTTATCGCCTCTCCCTTTACTGAAATGCCATCAACGACACTCTGTTGTTATTCGAATACTAGGCTTCACGTAATTGTGTCAGTGGTCCCTCTGAGTTACTTTATCTACGGCTTTTTCCCCTGTAACTACCAATAGAACAACCAAGGTACATATGCGTTTTGCAACCGCAGTTGCACGTGTGATTTCACTTTGGCTTCCGAAATCAGATTTGCACCCGTCTTATGATGCTCCTCACCTCGTATCTTGCCACATTGCTTTCTCGCCCTCAGGCGTGCGATACAACACCTCAGTTCGATTCCGTTGATCGATCAACGTTGCATGTATCCAACGAAAAGCCTGTGTAGTTTGTATTTTACTATGTCTGGTGTACTTTATTGAAAAACCACTTTCTGTTGATATGGAACGTTTACTGGAACGCTATGATCCACTATGCATTTGATTAACCAACTGTATTTGAATCACAGCAGGCGATCAGAGAAGCTGGATACACGTTGATTCAGTAGTTCTACAACCAGTGTAGCCGGAAGGGCATCACAGCAGAACGTAACTATGGGTAGCCCCTTGCTATCGTGTTCATTGCAACACTAAGCATCGCAATGAGGCTGGACCTTACCGTGGTGCGATGGTTTGCGTGCCTCAGAGATCCATTGAGCTATGCTGGGTGGTGCTTTTGCACCTTCAGAGCCACTCATACCAGATTGGTCAATGGTTAGAGGCCAGACAAACTCAGCCTCCTGGTCCTCCAGGTTGGGGGTTGGAATGGGGGTGGCTCCTCACTTCATAAAACGGGCTCCGTAGTCCAGTGCCAAAACCCGCTGCCTTGCGGTAAGGTTTTTGAACCAAAGGCTTTGGTTGAGAACCCTAATCGTTCTCCTGTCTAGGCCTGGGCAACCTGACAGTATTCTGCCCACGCAATACAATGAAACTTTCCTACAACAATTTCTTGATGCTCTGGCCGTCGCAGAGGATAATCAACGGCGCCCTATCTGCTGCATCGAGCAGGGTGGATAGGGGTTTGGATGCTACTGCTCAGACCTTCCCGTCTTCTTATACCCCTTCTTGCGCTTCTTCATCCTTGTCGTCCCGCTCCAACTTTACTTATATCCCCCCATTTTCAATCCCCCAATTCTTGGCCCTCCCCCAGCTTTCTTCAGTAGTCGCTTGTCTTCTAATTTCAAATCACACACAATCCCAGGGCCTCGCTCCAATCCAGTTGACAAGTCCATGTTCAAGCAAGCGGACAACGTCAGTTCATCCGTTTCCCTTTGGAGTCCTCGCGTCTCGCTAAGACTGGCATGCTTCAACGTGCGCACTTTGCTGCAGATTGGCCAACAGGCAGCACTTGCCCGCACACTAGAGACCCTATCAATCGATATTTGCTGTTTATCAGAAACCCGCCTGCAAGATTCGAGCTCCGTATTTACCCTGAGATCCCCCACATGCGACACTGGCGGCACATTCTCATTGCGCCTGTCTGGCGATGATGCAGCTTCAAATGCCGGTCAAGCTGGCGTCGGCATTGTTTTGAGTCCCCGGGCTGAAGCTGCCCTGATTGATTGGATCCCAGTAAACAGTAGGATGTGTGCCGTTAGATTATCTGGTTCGTTCCGTGCTACGAAGTCGCGCGGGGACAAACGGTGCCTGTTTGTCATTGCGGCTTACGCCCCTACAAACTGTAGCACTGATTCGGTAAAAGATGATTTCTATCAGCAACTGCACGAGCTCCTTCGTTACAGAAGAAGCACGGATACTGTGGTGTTGGCTGGTGATCTAAACGCCCAAGTCGGAAAATTGTCCTCTGATGAGCTTCATCTGGGCGGCCAACATGGTGTAGGCTCGCGTAATGATAATGGTGAGCGATTGCTACAGCTGTGTGAAGATGCTCGCCTCTTTCTCGCGAGCACTAACTTTCGACACAGCACCCGCAGAAGCGTGACTTGGCGGCCATCAGCCTCGGGCCAACCATGGACACAAATCGACCATATCGCGATCAGTTACCGCTGGAGAGGCTGTGTCCAAAATTGTCGCTCGATTTGGAGCACGAGCGTGGACTCTGACCACGCACTTGTCTGTGCCGACCTCCGGGTGCGTTTCGGTGGACGCCCGCAACGTCGATCTGAACGGATTGACACCAGCCAGTTGGCGAAGCCAGATGTTCTGAATGTATACCATAGTGCGCTGACATCTGGGCTGAGCAAGCGCCCACTAAACACCGTTGAAGATCACTGGTCGCATATTCGTCAAACGTTACTGTCAGCAGGCATGTCTTCATGTGGCAAAGCAAATTGCCAAACCGGACATTGGGTTTCTACACAGTCTATGGAACTTATGGATGCTCGCCAACGTATTCCGGCTGGAAGCGAATACAATGAGGCTCGCAAAAATGTCAGGGCAAAACTACGTGCTAGCCTTAGGAAGGACCGCGAAACCTGGTGGTCTCATCGTGCCTCTGAGATGGAAACAGCCGCTGCCGTGGGTAATCATCGTAAGTTATTCCGTCTTATACGGGAAACAGGCAGCAGGAGACCTGGTGTTAGCGAGACCATACGCGACGAGAGTGGGCAGCCGATCCACAGCTTGTCAAAACGCTTGGAGCGTTGGGCCGAACACTTTGCAAGGCAATTTAACAAACCTGAGTTATCGCTTTCTTCTTCGGGCATTGAGCGCCCTTCTCCTTGGTCCGTCTCCTCGGATCCGCCCTCACGCGCAGAGGTCGAACGTGAGATCCGGCTGTTGAAATTGCATAAGGCCTCAGGAGCAGATAGAATTCCCCCAGCCCTCTTCAAATTCGGGGGACCTGCTCTAGTAGATGATCTACACGAGTTGCTAGTAAAACTTTGGGAGCAGGAGACAGTCCCGACAGACTGGAACCGCTCCGTCATTGTCCCAATTTTCAAGGGAGGCTCTCGTTTGGAATGCGGCAATCATAGAGGGATCAGTCTGATTTCGATTGCCTCTAAATTGCTTGCCTCTATCATTCTCCACAGACTGACTGGCACTCGTGAAAGCCAGATTCGTGAAGAGCAAGCCGGATTTCGTCGAGGTCGGGGCTGCATCGACCACATCTTCACATTGCGTCAAGTGTTGGAGCACCGCCATGTTTATTGGCGACCCACCGTTGTCGTGTTTCTTGACATAAAAGGTGCCTTCGATTCGGTCGATCGATGTGCCCTTTGGGACTGTCTGCTGAGGAAAGGTGTGCCTGATAAATATGTAAACATTATCAAAGCACTGTACACGCATAGTTCGGGCAGGGTGAGGGTTTATGGCAAACTCTCGCCACCCTTCAGTATCACCAGCGGTGTGAGACAAGGATGCCCGCTGTCACCTTTCCTCTTCAACTTCGCTATTGATGAAGTCATGGAAACAGCGTTCGCTGGACACGACCTAGATGGTGTGGAGCTACTTCCTGGTGAGCGACTTCTTGACTTGGAGTATGCGGACGATATTGCCCTAATCTGTGACCGCCTCCAAACATGCCAAAGAGCACTGGACCGATTAGCACTGGCTGTCAATCGTTTTGGGCTATGCTTTGCTCCATCGAAATGCAAAGTACTTCTCCAAGATTGGCAGGGACCCAACCCTGCGCTAACGCTTGGTGGTGATCTGCTAGAAGTCGTTCAGGAATTCAAGTACCTGGGCAGCTATATTAGCACCCGTGGGATTGAAGATGAGGTTACGAACCGCATAGCAAAAGCTCGAGGTGCTTTTGCCAATCTCCGCCACCTGTGGTGCAGACGCGACATTACTCTCGCCCTGAAAGGCAGAGTTTACAACGCAGCCGTCCGTTCAACTCTCTTATATGGTTGTGAAACCTGGTCCATCAGGTCGACTGACATGAAGAGACTCGTCACATTCGATCATCGCTGCCTTCGCAGCTTAGCTCATGTCTGGTGGGAACACCGCGTGAGCAATGAGCGTGTTCGACGTCGCGTATTTGGTGCAGGCAGAGCGAGTGAACCGCTCAGCACCATTATATCACGCACCAGGCTCCGATGGCTGGGCCACGTGTTGCGCATGCCAGCACACCGACTCCCGCGACGTGCATTGTTTGCGCGTTGTGGGTGCGGTTGGAAGAGGAGGAGGGGAGGCCAAGTGATGACTTGGTCGAGAGAAATGAAAACCCTCACTTCGAAGTTGGCGTCGGTTGGTGCATCCCGACTGCCTGGCTGGGGTCCTAAGGACGGTGAACACGTTTGATTGGACACACTTGCTGATATGGCTCGGAGCCGGCACCAATGGCGTTTGTGTTGTGATTTCCTTTGCCCATCCCCCTCCTGTTTAGTATCCCCCTCCAATCACGATCTCACCTGTTAGGCATAATATGATTCTCTTTTTACGGCAGCCAGCTGTTAGCTCTCCGGAACGATGTCCATCCGTTACTGGGGATTCAGCGGGCGTGCCACTGTTTTTCCTTTTCTTTTATTTTGTATTGCGGCACAATAGCTGAGGTGTATTCCACCTCCAGCTAACGTGTAATGATGATGATGATGATGATCCTGCACAGCAGTCTGCAGTCAAGTGGGAAATCTCCCTGTCACTATGTGCGAACCCACTGCCAACGAGATAGTACTCATCTTACCATGGAGACCTTTGCTGTCGTCCAGTGCTTAACTGCAGATACCCGTTTCTTGTTTTCATTCCTCACAGAATGGTCGCCGCAAGCATGCCCTCACAGTGCTAGACGCCGCTTGTATTTACGGTCAGGATTGCCGCCATCTTCCCTACAGAAAGCGGTGAGTTAGTGCCTTTATTCGCATTGTGCGCATCGGATGTTGGATTGCTATGGGGGTCATCGGCTCTGTTGTTATCTCGATTTGATGCATGCTAGCCAGCGTTTCCGTTGGGAGTATGGAGTACGCGTGGCCCTAAATTCGAGTTCTAACGTCTGACTTCCGTCAACACGCTGAATTTTTGACTATCCCTCTTACGATGCACACTAGCCTTCATCTCCTCGTCTCGGCCGTCGCCCCGTTCGAAAGATTCTGCATTTTTACCATCGAAAGTTCCCATTACTGTAGGTGCCCTCAAAGCTATCCGGAAGCTGATGTACTCACCTACTCAACTTGGAGGATCTGATCATGTTCACTTCAGGCTGAAGGTTGTTGTCTCGTTTGATCGATGAGCTACTTGTCTACCCGTGTCTCACATTGTTCTACATTTGTTGGCTCATAACTGCAGCCTCTGTAACAAACCTACTAGGCAATTTATGAAAGAAATATGGAGCTAAGCCTCACTTTCAAAAACGTGTATTTCCATTTAATACAAGTCCCCACATCACATTGTTTGTATTCACCGTCTGGTCGTATTTTAACCACCCATGCATTAGTGGTCTTTCTAGGCGACGTCACTGTACACATGAACTTAGCGTACATTTCCTCACCTACATTTTTTCGTCGCGCTACCAACCCGTCCACTTTTCTCTCTTGCAATTTCATTGCTCACTCTTTGGGTAACTCTTCTCCAGTTGAGGTGGTCACGTGCCTTTTGTTTGTTCGGGTTGCGAACGTTTCCTTTCTATTATGCCTCAGTCTGTCCACACGTTAGTTGTCAAGTCGTTCTGTTGTAGATACATTTGTCCACTCAACTCTTGCGATCTCTCACAATTTGACATCAGCCGCACCTTCCGCAGTTGCTCCTTACCGGTGGCTACATTTCTTACGGAACTATTTGGGTTATTCATTCATAAATGCACGTGACTATATAATTATCACCCAATTTAATTATCCAATATATTTCCCCATTATGAAGGTGCGCTTTACACTTCGCTGTTTATTCGTCGTTTGTACGCTTTTTCCGATGTGTCTCTACATTCATGGGACACGCGATAGCTAAAGAGATCGGAATTCTCTTGGCGCAGTCGTACACGCAGATGGCCCAGTTCAGCACTATGGAATCACGTATCTGTTTTGAGCGCGCATTTGATGCTAAGCTCGGACTGTTCGCCCAAGACCGCGATAGCTGCTTGCGAAAGGTCGTGACCACCTAGGATTGTTTATTTGGTGACCTTACTCATCCAGATTGTTTTCGCTACACTTGAGTGATAAAGTCAAGCCCAAATGAGTTTTGGATTAAGAAGTAAACTCTCACCTGACCCAAACATTTACATGATAGAGATTATCAGTTATCAGCGTCAAATCGGGCTGAAAATTGATTTCCGGGTTGTTCGAACAGTAACTTGTTAGCTCAAGGTTAGCCTATAGATGGTAATCAAATCAAAAAGATATTGCGTAGAAGCTCAGATGTCAAGGTTACATTGTCCGTTGGCCAAAGTATTGGTCACGGACATATGTACACCCACAGTGCAGGCTTTAGTTTACGGATGTAAACGGCTTCAGCAATGGATAGCAACTGCCTGCGGAAGCCTTGTGTGAAACTTTCAAGTAGTGAGTGTTTGACCTAGAAGTCATTCCTAGAGGCTGTGTGGCCAAAATCGAGGAGATGTGACATGATAGAGCTGTTTGAAGATCTCATCTCGACTTTGTAGAACCAGGCCGGAGTGTGCTCGCGAATCCTCTGAGATAGGCGTCTCTTAGTGCGACCTACGTATCGTACACCACAGGAGCACGAGTTGCATCACTGCTGGCGGGGCTGTTGGAGACGAGATTTTGATGCGCATCTCGAGAGCACGCCTCGCTTTTTCTAGGCTGAGGCATTTGTGGCGTCGCCACGACATTCGTCTCTCCATCAAAGGGCGGGTCTATTGTGCAACTGTTCATGCTGTACTGTTGTACGGATGCGAGACCTGGCCCATTCGTAAAGATGACTTGTGCAGGCTATCCGTCTTCGAGCACCGCTGTCTGCGGTCCATTGCCCGTGTGTGGTGGCAGCACCACGTAAGCAATGTGGAAGTTAGACAGCGTGTCTTGGGACGTGGAAGCCACTCGCTCGAGGAGCTCATCTCACTGCATCAACTGCGGTGGTTGGGACATGTATTGCGCATGCCTGTCCAGCGTTACCCCCGTCGTGCGTTGTTTGCACTTGCTGGACAGGGCTGGAAGAGACGGTCTGGTGGACAGCCTACAACATGGAGAAGCCGCATGAAAAAGTTGACGAAACAATTGGCCTCGGCCGGTTGTTGTCAACTACCTGATTGGGGTCCGAGAGATGAGGATACTTGCTGGTTGAAAACCTTGGAAGTTATGGCTCAAGATCGATGTCAATGGCGGACGTGTGCATCAGTGTGTTGCGGTGTCCCTTCTTCCTCCCCCTAAAAAAGAACAAACTGAAAAAAAATTTCAAAAACTGTGAGTGGTAAACTTGACAAAAAAACATTTCTTGTTGCTCTTTTCTTATTATTCATATTGTTTTCCTATTCAGCCATGATTCCGATGGCACAACATCTGTACCACAGATTGTGTAGCTCAGGTAGCTCGGTAGCTCAGGTGATAGAGCAGCGGACCGGAAATTCGTGGACCGGGGTTCGACTCCCCGTCGAGGCATATTATTGTGCGTGAATTTTAATCGTGGCTTCTACTTTCTTCGAACTTCACACTACTCACAAACATCCACCATTAATCTACCATCGCCCATTGGACGTCTGAAGGACAAGAACTTCGGTCTATTGGGAAGTGACGGGTGAGTGAGCCAATCTGCAACATCAGGACAGGTACTGTGAGCTTATTGGCAACACGTCGCGCACCAAGCAGAAGACATGTGTTAAAATTTGCGCACCTAATCGTCAGCCCTCGGTAGCTCAGGGGGTAGAGCAGCGGACCGGAAATTCGTGGACCGGGGTTCGACTCCCCGTCGAGGCATATTATTGTGCGTGAATTTTAATCGTGGCTTCTACTTTCTTCGAATATATATATACCGATAAACGAGCATTGAACGGGTCCACGAAGGCAGGCTACCTTTCAAAGGTTTTGCAAGCAGTGGCTTGTTGTAACAAACAACTCTCAATCGGGTCGCGAAATAAGTCTTCTCAACAGCACCTTTCAAGCCTCGAGATAGGGTATCAGCGGCAGAATCGCTCCTTACTGGCAAGTGCTTGAGCAGCCTATTTTTAGGAGCAATGCGGCTAGGTATTTTAGATTTGTGTTCCCTCACATGTTTTTAGCTAAATTTGTCTGGATAGCCATTTTCTCTCAGGGCATCGCTGATTCTCTGCAATTCTTCCTTCACAATATCCGGTGTGCAAATACTGTGAGCCCTGAAGGCGAGAGCTGGAACCAACCTTCTCTCTACTGTAGCGGAACTGCATTGTGGAAGCTCGTGTATTGCCCAATCCATATATGCTTTTTGTACACTTTCCTGCTGAGAGATCCATCGGAGTTACGGAGAACGTCTACATGCATAGAGGGTAGTCGGTTTCCGAACTCATGCTCGCATGTGAAGTGAAATTTCATGGGGTGTAAATATAAGTACTAGGATTGGGTCACTAATCTGTTGCCAAACAAAATTAAGAACAAAATCACCTGTATCAACACATGTGACTAACTATCGAATCACTATTGACTAGCCATCATTGACTAATCACTACTGAGTGGTTAGTGAATTAGACCATTTTAGGTCATACATTTTATTACTTTATCTACGGATACAAGCCTGCAAAGCAGTGCAGCTGGGTGGCGTCTCTATCGGCCTGCTCGTCGATCGTAGTTCTTTGGAGTCAGGCAGTCGTTTGCCGGATCAAATTACAGAGTTTAGTGATCACTTAGGTAGGAGCATAGGTCATCCGACCGGGTAAAGGAGCGAGCGCATGTTTGCCAGTTAGAAGCAACAGAGCAGGCGATTAGTCTTAAAGACGTATCGATACAGACTGTCGGTGGGTATCTGTCATCCTGGACAGAGTTGGAAGGGATCGCTAAAACAAATAAAAAGCCACTGACATTTGTTCATGTTCAGGGGTCACACACCAAAGCAAGGAAGTGAATGAACTTAGCTGAAATCGCACCAAATATACCAGAAATTATTAAAACTAATCACTATCAACCATATGCTAAGTAATATATAAAATCGCTGAAAATAGGTGTTTCCCTTTGATTAGAAGTATTTAAAAAATTATTCATCTTCCGTGCAATGGGTAGTACCTGATTTGCTTTTTAGCCTAATCTTTTGAGGGTGTAATTCTTTATAGTTAACCCGATTTGTGGATATCGCTCTCAAAAAGAATGAGAACCACTTATCTAAGTGGATTGTGTATGGACCGAAGCTGTACTGCCAAGCTAATTGGGGGGCAGTGATTGGTCATTGGGGAGCCGCATTCCCGTGAATACTCGAACGACACTTTTCGACTTTGAACCAACCCGTTCTTTGCCTTTTTAGAATGGAATTATCGGAGCGCATGGCGGAAGTTGTCAATTTCCCTGGCATGTTCCAATCGTCAGTGCGCGTCCCTCCGATGATGCCATTGCAAGATTTACCGGCTTGTAGTAAGAAGTAAGTTCTTCACCTTGACACTCCTTCGCCTTATTGCCATTTGTCTTATCACATCCATGTAGTTCGCTTTCCGAGTAACCCAACTTTTGCCTCTCCTCTTTGCATTCAGGCTTCCTTTACTCACTTGCAAGGATGCACCCGGCACGATCCCGATGTACTTGTATTCCGACGGGTATGCTTTTCAGCCCCATTCAGTGTTACTGGTTGAACACTTAGCTGGTGAGTGAACACGTGTCCGCACCCCCCCACCTCATTTCCGTTTGCGTGCTTACTTGCAAGTGCGTCTGTGCTGGTGGGTGGGGAGGGTAGACATCTCACTTCTCTGCCACGTACTTTTGCTTGTCATGCTCTCTCGAACTCAGTACAAAATTTGCGGTCTGTTTCGACCCCTCATCTCCGCATGTTTCATGCGAACGACTACGGTGTTTATTGGCACCCTTGCGGTGGACCGACTTTTATTGCCTTTTTTTATTCACTTCTGCATTATTGCGGACTGTTGTGCCGTATAATTACTTCTTTACTCACTCCAGGAATCATCCCCGTTTTGCGCTGTGGGGATATCGAGATTTAATCAACTCCACTTGGTAGGTATCGTTTTTATTCGCTAAGGGCCACCTGTTCGATGTTAATGGAGGAAAATCTTCCCGTTTGCAGGAGATTGGGGCGAAGCCGTCAGTCGGTCTAACGGACAGATCTACTACTTTAATCCGCAGTTGTCCGATTCCACTTTCGAATTACCCAAGGACCAACATCTCGCCTTCACGTAAGTCACTTTTGACCGACCCTTTTCGGGTGCCTAACTCAGCCCTCTGTTCGATTCCGCACATACTAACACGTTATCACAGCAGACCATTGCATGGGTGTGGTGAAAACTTTATATCATGAATGCGTGGATCCGTTAACGGATGGTGCGTCAAACCACGCAGGAAATACATTCGGTTTAGCAAAACACCCTAACCACTGGACATTGACAGTCAGTTGAGCAAGTGTTATTCGATCGGAAAGCTTACGTCACCTTGGATCCTGACATCTAAACGGACAGAGCCATTGCATAAACTAATTCGATGCTTAGAGACCTTGCACTCTGGATTACAACTTTAGTTACTTATTCTCCACAATTACTCTTCTATCCGATCTGCCTCGAGTGTTTTTTATTCTTTAGTTGCTTACAAACCGCTTTCATCATTGCCAATTTTTATTTGCATTACGAGTCATAACAAATCACCCCATCCTACTCTTTTATTCAAGTCTTTGTTATTTGATTCGACGGTGGTGGGGCCTTTACATCGGCCTTTGCCTTTTCACTAGAACATCGCTCTTTATTTGCTGCGGATCTATCAGTTTTCACTAAGTTTCTCTTCACTTAGTATATTTACAAGGTAACTAAGACTGTCCTTCGTCGATTTTTGTAAATGAACTTAAAGATATTGCACGTATTGTGGAAGTTATCAGACGGTGCTATTTAATCTAAGGAACCTGCGTATGAATTGATAACTTAGGCTTCGATACCTAGTCGTCAAAGGATGCAGATTCGGTACTGTTTATTCGATTGACACTTGTATCCCTAATGTCACATTTTCCAGTTGTAAAATTTTGCATTTTTAATAACATTTTATAAATCCACAGTGGATGTTGTAACATTCGGAAAATATGCCCTCTCAGGTACATAAAACTTATTTTGTCTTGATCTGACTTGATCTTCTTACTTTTTGCGCATTTGAAGAGACGTGTTACCGCTCTAGTTTTTGGTAACCTAATTTTATCTGCGCCTAAATCCCCAAGCATAAATTAAATCTTGTTCTAAAACCTTATGTATGGTACTCCCCTCCAGATGAGTTTGTGGGTATGTATGCTCTAGTTTCATCGCATGTCCTACTCCTAGGGTCACTCAGAGTCACATATGGTAGGGCTGCTCGTAACATCTCCTCTCACCTCCCGACAAAAGCTTTCGTGGCGCTCATGTTAAACTATCCTATATTATCGCGAAGCCATTTTCCGTTCCAAAATCACTACCCAAAACACTATATATCTCGAATATGTACCACGTTAGCAGTCTTTTATCTTAAAGCAGCAGTATTCACGACCGTCGTAACGAAGTTACTAGGTGTGACGCGGATATCTTGCACTCTGCATGCGAAGTCATTGGATAGTGAGCGGTTCTATATCACATCTAGCGGCTTTAACCATAGACTTACAGCACTCGAGACTCACATGGGTCAGGTGGAATGCGCACTGTTGACGATTCCCGTAGGGCTATAACGGTCGTACAGTGCTTTTTCCTGGCGTATGATGGTTGTCTGACTGTCCAGATATTGTGAATTTCTATTCATTGTCTTTTATTTACTACTTACGATTGAAAGCGACCATTCTCGGCATACTATTGCCATTAATTAGGTATAGTAAGAATTTAGAGTTGTCTATATGAACATTTTTACTTCAAGAAAGTCTCAAATCGCTGAAGCTATAGCGATTAGCCGAATGCAGCCTATGCTGTGTGTACCAACGTCACTAAGCCTAAACTAAGTACGTCGTACGAAAACTAAACTAAAAACTACGAACAGATAAATCTAGACTTAACGCACGGTCTGGGCAGAAGAAGAAAACGAATTATCCTGTAACCGTGGTTCTATAAGTCATAATAAATACAGTACATGACTTACGAATAGGTTTCGCAATCGTAATGCAAGTGGGCAGAAACTGTCCAGCGTGGGGCGGATCGAGTATTCGGGCAGTGTCACAGTAACACAATAATAAGAATGACCTTGAAACCTCAAGGATGTGTCAGTGATGGAGTGTAAGAAATAAATATGCGATATGTTACCCGCTTGTAAAACACAGAAAAGCAGTGCAAATGTGCAAGATAATCAGGGAAAAGAGATACCGTGTCCTCAGGTAAGCAATCCAGTTTGGGGATACATCAAAGTTCCTTTTGGACTTTACACTGTGCGTGCATAAACAGCTATTCCTCAGTCTCAAGCTTCCGTGGACATAAAGATCGAATCGTTTTTACCCCTTGATCCCCAAGTTTCTTTCTTCTTTTTTGGTCACATTCACCATTTGCTATTGTTTCTCATCGGTTGTTGTTATTGGTACTGAAGAGACAACACGAAATGCTTACATCTACCAAATGTCGTCTTCTTGCTGTACTTTTCAAATTTATCCTAACCGTCTGACGACTTGAACATGTAACTGTATGACTGGCCCATGCGACTGCGTCGACAAAAATCATCATATTGTTCCTTTTTCACTTTAGTCAAACACAATTTGTGAAGGTTCCTTGGGTGGTGGACGGTCAACGTCATGTATCCGTTCAGCAGTTGATTCAATCATTGGAACATACTCCCGTGTAAATATATTTCTTCTGTGTCAGAATCTTGTTATTCCGTTCCATGGACCCTATCCTCAGTCCTTTTGTGTCCTTGGCAGCATCAGAACTGCAGTCGGTGGGAGCATACACAGAACTCGCAAACAAACAGCGTCTTGTACTACTTCATGAATCAGTCTCTGTATTGGAGCTGAGAGCAATACCTACCCCAGCTTTATCAGGGTCTGTCGCATCAGCATTTCCGGATACATGCAACCAATAGCGTGAGGACAAGCGAGGCGCAATTAATTCAGCAACCCCGGATTGGTCATTGACCCTAGTTTCGGATACGCAGAACGCGTCAATACCCAGTGTGTCCAATGTATGTGCGAGTGCAGCCCGTTGATCTATTTGTCTTGTAGTGTAAACGTTGAACAGCGCCAGGAAAACGGGACAGCGTGAGCTTATAATGGACTGTTGCCGATAGTCGTCCACTGGGTAGTGCGGGAAGGTAGCTATAGATGTTTAGTAATGGGGGTTGGGAGGTTGCGAAGTATACAGCCACATCTGCCAATGGTTGAGTTATTGGATGTTATGCAAGCTACTTTTTGTAAATTGACTAAAGCAGTTTGAGCACCTTTTCGAAGTCGAATGTAAGACAGGACGCAGCGGGATTCACTGTGTATTGTTTCTGTGATCGCGTCAAACCAGCTATCAAAGAATGTGTGGTATTACCGACTTCTAACGCATATGGCAGATGGCATCTGCAGCATACACTACCTATAAGACATCACTGCTTTACTGTACCTCTTATTTGTGCATCATTCCACCTGGTAACCATATTGATGGCGCTTGCTTTCCTATTCCTCTATGTCTCTATCTATTGGGGATGCCCACACTTCTGACTAAATTTGACTGCCATTTGGGTTCACCTTTACACGTTAACTAACCACCGACAGTCGTATTGGCTGCTTATAATTGTACGTGCGATCTTCCAACACTAGAGGAAAGTGACTGTTATTCTTAAATTCGATCCACACTCATACACGTTTGTAATGTTATTGCTCATGAGGGTTATTGTTTCTCCAATCCAATTTGTGGTAGTCCATACAGAAGTGTGAACAAATGCCCGCTCGCAACGCTGCAGTACTGCAACTCGAACCAGGGACCTTTGGTATGTCAACTGATATCTCATGTTCAATAACTAAGTGGTGATTTTGAAACACTTGTAAGCTTGACAAACTGATCGCATTTTCACTCACGTGAAACCATCATCTGCTGGCTCGATGTCTAACTTGGGCTCGCCCAAATTACAAGTCGTGCTAACATCTGTTCATGTCTCGCTACGTTCTCATTTGACAGATGGGTCTTATTACATTTCTTCTTGTGTGACACCGTGACTTAATGCGGGTTGCAATATGAGATCAATCTATCCCATCTCAAGTGCCTCTATACGCACCCTTGTACTGCTGCCGCCTTCAGGTAAGCGCACTGAGATTCAGACAGGTCATCAAGGTTGATTCCCGGAACAACGGCAATATGTTGTGACATCCAAATCGAAATGCTTGGGCATAGGTAGTATTCTAGACTCTGATGAATTGGTCGAGATATGCTAGCGGTCAGAACGAATGACCAGGGGGAGAATAAACTATTTATTTATTTAATTAAATAGTAACACATGACGAACTGCTTGGTGGTTCCACATATCTGTTGATTCTCACTCACCTCGGACAAGAGACGACCATAACCGGCTCTGGTTTACATTCCGACACGGATAGCCTGCAGTTAATATAGGAGACGGCATTCACAGCACACACCAAGGATAAGTCATCACTGTTCCACTATGCTTCTTCGTTAAAGTGAGCATAACTAATATTTCTTTTCTTTCACCGTGGACTTAATCACACCATTGCCCTGCTAACTTGTCAACTTTCTTACTATATTTCCTTCATCTTTTTTGTGTCATCCTTATTCTATCGCGCATTTAAGTCGCGCTTGGGTACAGTTTCACTCTAGAATGATTAACCACTGGCTTGGTGCAATGTAGTCTATTTATTGTACCTGCCTAGAACGGATTGATCACATCTAACCTACCTTTATAGGATTTACCTAACTCGGTTGTATTTCGCCGTTATTTCACGTGTTGCCCACTACACTGTTGTACACATCATGATCTCTGATACCTTTGCTACCTTCTCAAGTGGAGTGTAGTACGGTGACATGCCGAGACGGCGAGCTACGACATCTTCCTCTACGTATTATTATCCGGCCGCGATTCACATCACTATATAAACTCCATGGTATTGCTCACCAGACTAGGGTACAATAGCGGAGGTGTTTTCCCACCTCTAGCTGATGTGTGTAATGATGATAATGATGACTTTGTCGATTACATGACCCTAGCGTGACCAGCTGCCCATTGCTAACTAGCACGACGCTTAGAGAGCCGGTGCATCGCGGAATAATGGTTTAGTCCATCCATGAGCTCATTTGTGTTTGATATGCTCGCGGAGTTTCCGAGCGAACTGTGCTGGGTGACAAATTATTAAGTTTGCAGTTTGATGGATATGCTTGAATCAAATGGTTACCAGCGCTTGGCCGCTTACAGTACGCATAAAGTGTAAAGTTTGACATCTGGAGCACACAATGCTCAACGATTGTTCCTCGTGTGACCACGTTGGACTATGCATCCGAAGAGAAATTGCCCGGGGAAAATCCGTGGCCAGTGAACAATCCCGGCAATTAATGATGAGAGTGAGCATAGGTTTCTCTTCTGTTGTTCATCAGCCATACTGAATTTACCTGGGCTTATGAAAACGCAAATACCAAGCGGATTGAAGACGGAAGCGCAGAGACACTTACCAGAAGTTGAATTAGACATGGCCAATCTTCTTAATAGATTGAGAAAAAGGTGATGCCCATGGTAATGGTACCTCAGTAAAATGAATCGGCGCACAGCAACAATCGTTTTAGTAGCACCGAATGGCTGCACCCGAGACGTACAATGGCGATCGTTACCAAATAGCTTTTGGTCACAGCAGAGTACACAGCGGTATGTACAAACCGTTGAGTACTTGGATGACAGCCATGCTACGTTTTGAACATTTGCAAAACAGTGAACACTGTTAAGAAAGCCTCATGGTTGACAGTGCGCAGCTGGACTTAGTTGATGTAGAGTGGAGGTAGTTGTCGCTCCATTGAGGCCGTAAGCGGCGAATATGTGGTATCGATACCTTGCAGTGCTTCAGGTTGCGCCAAAACCGCACCTAGGGCAACAGATGACCGGACCGGTCGGCGGCACGGAGAGCCTGTACTGAACACCCTCTCGCATTCGCACGCTATGCGATCTCTCCCATCAGCTGCGCAAACCAGCCTGTACATATAGACGGCAACACGTATGTACACATTATTTTACTGTACCACTTGTTTATTTATCATTCTACCTATTAACCGTACTGATGGCAGTTGCTTCACTATTCCTCTATCGGTTTCGTTCAAATATGCATGCTCAAGATTTAAGGCTGTCATTTAGGTTCACCTCTAAATGTTAAACAAAACACCAACAGTTCGTATCGGATACTTATGCCTGCAAAAGTGGCTGTTAGCCTGACTTTCAAACAAAACGCATATACTTTTTTAGTACTATTGTTCATGAGGTTTAATGCGTCTGTCCAGTTTGACAGTTCATACTTAAGTTTGGACAAACGCATGTGCATATGTCGTATTCGAACTGTCATTGGACACGGATGACGCCAATCCATGTGTCTATGTATACCGAATGAATTCGACGAGGATAATCATACCGCTTTTGTACGGCCAACTTTGTGCAAGGAAGCACCATGCGGGCAAACCGAAATTACGTTACCAGAACATGAAAAAGTTGAGTTTATGACGAACTAATGTAGATTACAGGTGTTGCGAATCCAAGGCAAAGTTGATCGGTGCGAATTTCGTGGACTGACCAAGAGGACGGTTGCCCAGGTGCAGGAGAAGGCACCATTGCGCGCGGAATAAAAGCACGATGCGTACGCTCCCGTTCGATTTACTAATCCAGGCAAGTAAGGCGGCATATGTGGTACGTTTGCCTGCGTGGTGAGTATTCTTCCATTTCAGAAGTATGTGTTGATTGAGCTCCACGGTGTGGCTGTGCCTGATCTGAATGTTGACAAGATGCTTATCTGTCTAATACCCTCCACCTCGATTGCTGGCTCCAGAAGACAGTTGGTCGTGGTTGGAGGGGGCGGGGTGCACCTTCCTCGTGGCGGTGCTAGGCTCAAAAACTGGTTCCATGCAACCAGTGTGGAAAGGGCTACGGAGAAGCCACCGCCTTGTGTACGTCTGGTATGCATGATTTCCCAATTAGGCCGGAATGCTTCTGTTCTGCTTGTTGAAGGAGTGTGGACCGGCTCCGTTGATGAAACGTGGCTCTCGTCCACATGCCTATTAGTCTTATTCCTTCGGGTTTACACCGGATATGTTATGTGTGGGTGGAACTGTGGTTGGTGCAGCTCAAGCCACCCATGGTCCCTCTGCAGGCTGTGGCTGTCCCCATGGAGGCCACAGTGACAGGTAAATCCGGAAACGTATATCGCCAATCCATCCATCCATCCAAGAGAAACTGGTGGAAAAGAAAGAAGAGAGGCGCCAGCAGTAGCATGTCTTCGCTTATCCGTCCTGCTGTGTGAAGCGGATAAGTCGACCCTTGATAATCTGCGACGCCCGATACAGGATTTGGTTTAAGTTTGAAGAAATAGTCACAGTGGTATTCGGCCTGAGATACTACCAGGGCGCCAAGACCTAGACAGCAGGACAATTAGGGTTCTCAACCAAATCCTTCAGCTCAAAAGCCTCTCCGCAAGGCAGCGGGGAGGTGACGGTACTTTGGTTTTACAGAAATGGACACCGTCCCATTTCAAACTTCGAACCTGATGGACTAGGAAACTGATTTTCTGACTTCTAACCATTGCCCAACCTGGTAGGAGTTGCTCTCTAGGGTTCCCGGGGGCACCACTCAGTATAGCTCAATAGGTCTAAGAGGTACGCAGACACCACGTTAAGGTTCAGTTTCGGTTGCGACGGTGACCACCTACTTGACCAGCTTCAACTTTAGGACCAATGAAACTATCATGCCAAGTCGTCTACTTATGCAACACTGCATTTTCGGCTTTTCATTGATAACAATGTTCCGGCGTACGCTCTGTTAGCATGATTTTTATTGATACCTTGTTATCTCAAGACAGCTAACCACATAAGTGAGACGACTGAACAGTATGAACACTGTTGAAGCCGATGTTTACTTGATTGTCATTTGCCACCCTCCGGTCGTTTATGACAAAGCGCCACGATCGATTAGTTACCGCTTCATGAATTATTGCCACTGACGCATTGTACGACACTAAAAGAGGTCCATCAGATCCAAGTGCTATATTTCTTCTCACGCCTCGATGTTAGCGGTTAAACGAAAGCACCGGTAACAGGATGACTGAATTTTTGATTTCAAGTTTTGAATACAAATCGTCTTTTAGGTTTTTATTGTGACAACATTTCGCTCTTGACGCAAGAGCTTCAGGCCAGGTGAATCGGTACACAGTTGGCTTAGCTTTTGATGGAAAATTTGGATGCAAATTGTAAGGAATAACACAAACCAGTGGATAATACCCGTATTTTCCATAAAAAGCTAAGCAAATTATGTATCGATTCAACTTGCCAGAAGAAGCTCTTACGTAAAGAGCGAGTCATCTCCACAATAGAAAACGGATTTACATTCAATGCTTTCTGAAATCATGAAATCGCAGTCGGTTCCAAGCCTTTTCCGAGATGTTGATTGAATTTTGTTTGAAAATTCTCGACCCAGCGTTCCACTCATCCGGCTTGGGAATGACTCAGCTATCCGCCTATCACGGATACAGTTTTATCCATGGGTGTTTTCCTTGCACTCCCATTTCAGATGAGTTTAAACAACACTTAGCATTTTCTCTGGCACCGTTCTTATCTACTCCCTTTTGTGATGTCGCATGCGTTCCGTAACTGACTATCTATTGGAATCATTTCCATCTTCCAGGTCATTTTCACAGGCGGTCTCAACGATCTGCGTGGCGAAGTGGGATCTGGTCCATTCGATCCATATCCTTACACTGACTTTCGCCCTCTGTACTCGGTGACACTGTTGTCCCTTTTTTCCCTTGTCTTCGGAAATCCACATTTGGCATGTTTCGGTCTCTAGTAGTGAAAAAACTTGTTGCTAGTTCACAATCGGCGCACGGTTGAAAAAATTCATTGCTGTTGCCATTGACCCTCAAACGACTTTCTAGACTGGAGTCCGACCTCCTTGTCTGTACCACTAGCCGATTTCACATCAACGGTATCTTGACCCTACTAACATTATGGCTATGAAGGGTGTGCATCTGAAGATGCGAGCAAACGCTAAAATAAAAGTTGCTGACGTAGTGGACATCCCCTTCCGTCCTACTGAGTGTTGAAATCAAACCGCACACATGACTCTGTCCGTTCGAGCGGGGCACCTGTTGCGCGCCTGTTCTGCTTGATGGCAGCGCCATACATTTCTCTAGCTACCGCTCTGGTTTCAGGTAAGATGGGGAGAATGTTGCCATCGTTACATCCCCCTGCTCGGGTGAAAATACGTAGTCATCCTCCTGTTTTGTACCTGTGTTTCGGCGGCACAAAACGATTCAGCTTCGAGGATGTGTGTTGTCAGTGCCCGGATCACCCGTTGGCCGATTTAACGCGCTAGCTAGACTCTAGACGGAATAAGTATCTTAGTGTTAGTTGCTTTTATTGTGTCTATTGTTTTCTCAAACTAGTTGGCAGAATATGTAGATGGCACTCGTGATGCGTGGACAGTTGGCCAATTTGTACAGATTGTGTCTCCTAACCAGACGCTCTGAGGAGGAATTTTTTCTTAGAATTTCCATTGTTTACCCAAAAGTTTGCTCAGCAGGTCAGTGGAACAAATGAAGGCCCCTCTGGGTCACTCCACGCGAAGAACTTAAATTGCCCGTTTGGCGTGCACAATGATGGGGTTTACGCATTGTGAGTTCTTCGGGTTTCGTCATTTTTTCCCACGGAAAATCAACGGATGGGTTGGTTTACATCGATTTGGATTTCCGCTTCCCCAGTCATTGACGCCTCTCCATTCTATGGATCTCTAAAGCATTTATGGAGTCGTGTGTCTTCATCACCACGCAAACCTTCCGTTTGTTCGCTGTTATTCTGCATTCAGTGTTTCACTTGCACTTAAATCTGTGCTCATCAAAACATTCCAAGTTTGTACATGACTTGTGCTTCGCATGTGTTTCATTCTCCTCATCTCTCACCGTGTTAGCAAGCCTTTTCAACTGCCACACGATGGCACAACTTGCGTTCCCCGTTTGGACCAGGTGTGGTATTCATGCTAAAGGCGATAGAATCCATCCAACTCGGGTCAGCGACTATATCTTAAAACTGCTACCTTAATTTTTCATGTTACGCGAGGTTTGTTCTCTCGCTACCTGTATCAGGCTGTATTTTACTTCTGCTCAAACCCATGCATGTCCAATAAACTGTTATTATTTGTCCATAAAATCGTTTCGAGAGATTAAAGCATTTTGTTAACCCGACTGAGGCAATAGATGCATCGTGTGCAATTACAATAGTGGGGCAACGGTGGTTTTTTTAACAAACAAGAATATCACAGCATTGGGTTGTACCGCACAGCAGAAAGGCGACTGTTCGATAGTGTGTTGGTTTTCCACTCCAGCTCGTTTGCTCATACTATCACTCCATCGACGTTCCTTCTGTTCCTCGAATACACGTCGTTTAATAGTTTGGCCCCTTGTACCGCCGTTTCTTGTGCCCCTTCAAAAGCCACCGAATTGTCGTGCGTTGTCGATCCTGTAACCGCTTGTAGTCTGCGGCTTGTTCGAGTGGCAGCCGACGATTTCCCGCTCTGTCCTGGTTTATGCATTATGCTCTCCACAGTCGGCACATCATTGTTCGGGGGCATGCTCGGTGCGTACTTGAGCAGCAACTCGTGGTGTTTTCGCTGTGCATATATACATATGAATAATATTGTAACTAGAGCCATAACGAGGATGAGTCCACAGGCCAGTGGAACCAAGATGGGTGAACCTGAAAACAATATGCCACACTCTTCACGTTAGTCACATGCCATCCTCAATAATCTTACAATGGTGTGAGCTAAATGTGCACTCAGACTATATTATCATTTGCGGATAAAAACAGCCCAAGTATCGTACTTCACAACTTTTGGCTGAACATTTACTTACCGAACTCTTTTTCTTTCAACACCACCGTATCAACCTTGATCTCAACCACACCTAGTAGGATGCGATGCCAGTACTTCTCCAGATCTGGGGTCCCCAGCAATTGGGTCATTGGTGGTAACGGCAGGCTATCATCTTGTGGAATTGACGTAGCAGAGTTTCGCATCAATGTTACGTTGGTGGATGCCTTCTCGACTATGTCGCGTGAGATATTCCTGGTTAACATATGGATGAACGAGTACTCCTGCCCATTTTTGTTCTTTTTCAGTCGATCATCCATTGAACTGAGAGTGATCTGTGACACGATTTGCAAACAAACAGAGATGTGAACCCATGTTAGTGTCTTGCACAAGTTAGCACGTGAGATAGGTTACGTGTGCTCACATCGTCTGAAATACATCACGCTTCGTTCTTTACGTCACAGTTTTCGCTGTTGCTTAGGATTGTTATTGGCCTCTTCATGCTTCACACGACTGCCACTTAGAAGTCATTGGGCGAAGTCTGTACCTCATTGCTTCTGAGTAGTGGTTACCTCGCTCTGCACCTTCGTGGTCGGGGCGCATTTACTTAGGAAACAGTGCTCCATCTATTTCTCGTTTTACTGCGTCACTCTTACGTCTGTAGGCACAAAATTCTTACGGCATCGCTACACCATAGTGATATCAATGAAAGGTTATTACAATCAAATACGAACAAAAGAGCAGTCTACAATATTATGTATAGAGCTAATAAGCAAGTCAATCAATTGTAGCCTCTGATTCTTTGTTGATATGGTTATTGTTTGGCAATGAACGTGCTGGATACTAGCAAACCGAAGAACAATGAGCCTGAATGCAGGCACATATACTTTAGTGCTTGCTTCTGCTTGGGTAGTTAGATAGATGTATGGATAAGGAGCTACTAAGGGGATGACTGACAGAGGTGAGTATTTTGCTGCAGTTTTTCCACAAGAGTTAACACGAGTATCCACTACAATGTCAGCAAAGTTTGGTTTTTGCATGCCGTTACTCGAAGGTAATTGTCTAAATAAACAATGTGTCAGATGTACGCCATGATGGCGCTTTGCTGCCGCGCGACCACCACCAGTCGCGCGTGGACTAAGTATACTACGAGGACACCCGCCTCTACGCGGATTCAAACCGGTGACCTTATGATTGCAAGCCAGGCGTGCAGATCACTCGGCCACCGGCTGACTCCGTGACTTGATAAGCGTTTTGGTATGCCTATTCATGAGACCTGGTACACTCCCGTTTAAGAAGTGCGTTCATTACCGTTGAACACATATAAAGATAAACTTTAAGATCAAACGACTGCAGGTGATTGGGGATCTCAATTGAGGGGCTCAAGGTACATCCTCCTCACATTTTTGAATAATTTGTTTCCTTGAAGTGACTCCGATGAAACATAGCGCAGCATGATTTATAGATATTTCACGCGTACAAATGAGCTGAACTTTCACCGTTGATAAGAAGCTAAGGACCTTGTGAAGGGAGAGAACCGTTGCGTTTCGACTCATTCAACTACAGATGACAAGCTTTGGACCACATTGTGCGTTTGTCAAGATAAGTTTGTGACCTGACTGAAGAGGCAGTGGTTGAGTGTTTGACACCTGCAATCCCGTCTACGCATGTAATTGAAATCGTTCCTTCGGTGGAAGATATTCAGTATGAAATTATAAAATAGTAATGATCTCAGAATGGCTCCTTTAAGCACACCAAAATTTGTGGCGGGCAGCGAATATCTTTCACTGCCAAGTCGAGTAAACTGTATACTTACCAAAATGATAATTATGGATGACGACTACGAAAGCTTGCATCCCGTATTATGACCAATCACTTACCATAATTTCGATGCCAAAGATGCCGTTGTAATCATGAATGGAAACATCTGGCTTTGTTTCTATTTTCCAATGACTGCATTGCTGTATGCGCAAAACCGGCTACTACGTCAAGTCAAGATAAGCTTTATACACCCGTGTGGGGTAGGTCCGGAATCACTAATGTCTAATTGGCGCGGACCCTTTTAAACTAGCATGTTCATCATCATTGCGAGAGCGATTTGTTTGTGACACCAAATTGTGGGCAATGAGCAAGTACTTGCCAATTACTTTTTTCACGGGTGCGATAGTCGAAATTCTCCAGCGATTGGCTATTCTGTGTTGGTTTACACTTAATGTAAACAATTAAACAAAACTGATCCAGGAAATCATCGCATTCTTTGGCCACAGTATGAGTGAACCTGTTCGGGGTACTTGTTTTACCGATATTATGCCGTCGCCAAATGATGATTCTGTTTGTCACTAAAACTAGCTAGATGATAAGTCTACGATTGCATCAATGTTGACTCGGCAAAATGTACGATTTAATAGCCCATCTCTAGCATGCGATCACTTGCACTGGCTATATTGATTCCAATACCTTCCTTGCTTCTTTTCAAATGTTTGAGGTGTTCTAAGACACGTTTACAGCTGGTTAGAATTGGTCTACTTCAGCCAGACAGGTTGCTAATGAAAGCATTGCAATCAGATTGTCACTGATTCATAGTGCGTCCCAAGTCTCCATCTGTCGGATGGATTTTCTGCTTTACTTCGCTCGATTTTACTTTATGCCCTCTAGTGGTGCGACACTGTAGTGACATCATCTACACATCATATCCTCTAGTCATCCCTTGTTGGACACCTCACGCGTGCTCTGCTCTGTTAAGTTGGTGTTAACTGATTTCACTTCGGTATCCGCGTAATCACGAACTCGGCTTATAGCGCGGCACCACCTAACCACAATATCAAAGCTAAGGTGTCTTTATTTTGGATTCGTTGAAAATCCTCCGTTGCACCGTTTGTCGCTACCACGCTCTCCCCGTCCAACTACCGAAGAATAGTTTCACGGCTGCGCATGTTTTTTGAGCATGTTATCTGCGGCTATCTTGTGTGCATTTTTGATAAGTTGATTCTCAAGGAGTTTACTGGCACTAATAGTTTAAATGTGACAACATCGATCTGGGACCCTCCTTTGGATCAATGCGCTTATGTATTTCTTAAACTTCATCCGTGCATACGGTCGTGTTTCCTAGCTCCCTTCAGACGGGATACTTTTAATAGGTAGAATCGGCCAACTTTATACACATGCTGACTTACCTCTATCACATCAGTGAGCTCCTTTCTCCGGTCAGCTTTAATGTCACAGCTCATACCAAACCCCAACGCCTTTGACGACATGGTCTGTACTGCAGTCACTGTAGGAAGTTGACGCACTGCGTTGCAAACGTCACCGATTGTGACACCGTATGGAAGTCTCTGTTTTGAAAATTGTAGTTCAATACGTGCGCAACGATTTGTCAACTGAGCAGCGTTCGGTCGACATCCTGGAGCAGCTGCTTCTGTCTGAGTCGTCGGAAGCAGCTCACGTAATTGTACTGGGATCGATCGAGTTGTGTTCAGGCAAACGGTCCTCAGATAGCACGGAGGGACGAAGCACTCTCCTTCGAATCCCGAGGTGAGTATCTGACACACTTCTCCAGGTTTGCATGCGAATCGGTCGGATTGCCCGACTGCTTGGACACAAGACCAGTATCCACAGAAGTCCTGGAACATTAGTAATGATCGTTATGAGTTACTGATTGTTGTTAAGCTCGGGTCAGCCGCACTTCTGAATGCTCCTTATACCCAACCTTTTCTATTGATATCTTTAGAATCATCATCATTCATCATTATACACGTCAGTTGGAGGTGGGAAAACACCTCCGCTGTTGTGCCGCAAATCTTTATAATCGCTGAGGCCAAGGCTTAGTAGCAGCCTAGCTGGCGAATATCAACGAGTTATTGGTACACACAAAGTTAGTGTAGCCTTCGATAGTCGTACATTGAGTTACGAGTAGCCAATAATCCAAAATCAGAATAAGTTGGATCGCAATCTTCAGGGTACTGTCACAAAACATACAGTTAAGGAAACTGCACGAACATTAGTTGTTCAGGATCCCTGTATATCAGCAGCATCAGTGAGTTTCAAGTAAACGGATTGGAAATGAGCTATCGGAGCCACTGATCAGACCGGTAAGCTAAATGTCAAGTGAGTACACGAGAAATAGGTGAAACTGACACATTCACAGAGGCCAGTCTTTGACCGTCCCATTGCAGGTGTGTGTTGATCACACATACACAGGAGATAATATTCAAGTGAGTGACTTCCCGCGCATTGCTCTCAGTTTCGTAACCTCGTATGGATTGCCGAATTTCAGTCACCAATTAACTTATGGCATTAGGAGCAATTTGGTCTGCGTACTGATTACAGATGAGTAGTAGGGGGAATTGAATGGTGTAGTTGGAAATTCGAGTGTGGGCTACCCTGTCCTCTGTACGGCAGTTACGTGCAAGTCGGTGGATTGTGAGCGGTGGTATATCATATCTAGTAACTTATTCACGACGGTCGTTGCCCTCCTCCGTAGCCCAGTGGTCTCAATCACGTACTGGAAACAGTCAAGTTGCGGGTTCGAGCTCTACCAGGGTGATAGAGTGCGCACTACTGACGATTCCCGAAAGGATGAAACGGCTGTACAGTGCTTTTCCGGGCTGTGATGGCTCTCTTTGTGAGTATAGATGTGACGAATTTCTACATATATCATTCAAACCCCCTGCTACTGTTCTATAAAATTAAAGGTGCTCTTAAGTGAGAGCCCAGGAGACGATTCGGAGGAATTTTCCGCCGCTGTGCAATAATCAGTGACATGTAGATAGGGCGAGCTGAACTTTATATGCCGTCAAATTCAAATCGCTGTCATCCGCACTTCTGTTATGCTGTGTTCAATGTCCGGAAAAATTTGTCTAGATGCAAGGACTAGCGGACAAGTTTACTTCTAGTTGTTCATTATCAGGTTAATAAACCACCGCTAAAGGTATTGTACCTTTTCTCATCCGATTATATCTATAACGCTTTCAAATTCTTCCTTTAGGAATTCATGTCCCTCCATAGATCTTTCAGGATGGTCAACGCTTTCAAACTGCATCCAGCAGGCACGAACGGTCCATTGAGTAACCAAACCCAAATCTGTCAATATCATCCGACACTGTGTAGCCATTTCTTATATTATCTGCATATTTGAGATTGCTCGCTCAAAACAGTACGTATATTAAGTGTTTGCGCTTGTTGGATTTACCATCGTGCGAAAGTCTATAGAGAAACCTAATTTCCTTATGAAACAATTTGAAAGCGCTTTAAATCCAATTGGCTGAGAAAAGGTGTAGAATGGTCACACGGGAGTTAAACGCAGTGAGTCCGTGGATCGAAACGTCTAATAGATAGCTGGAAGGTGAATTACTAAAAGCAACCCTAGTCCCTCACTTGTTTCGGAAAAATTCGTTTGCATGTAATAAGCAAGCATTTGACCACTGCTTGCTAGCCCGCTTTTATACTTGAATTTATTAATATTTAAGTACAGTCCTTGGCTTTCATTCAACAGGGCATCTTATCTTGTTCTAAGTTAACTTTACCCTGCGATGCCGAAAAGAAAAGTTGTAAACATTGTTTCTGTTCAATGCCGTCGTTTCAGGTGACCCAAGCCGTTCTACGGCAACAGCGTGGAATGGTAAATTTCGTCAGAATACGTGCTTCGTAAACAGCGGCGAAATTTCCGGGGACTGTGTCTGAGCAGTGATAATTTTAATAATGTAAACATTGGTTTGCCATTTTTAAACAATTTCTGCGACTAGCTGAAAATTTCGTATATTATGACCCTGAAATTCAGTCAGCTGTTCCTATGGGAATGTGTTATATCTGCCTAACTAGCTGCTAAGTTCCACGATTCTCCGGTTGTTCTTCCGTAAGTGAGGTGTTCCGGCGATCGTTGGGTGCATCAACTGATGCGCTTACCGATGGATCGGGATGGTATATTGGTTTCTTTTGGATTTAAGCGCCATTTTCGATCTCATCCTTCAAGTTATTGGAACAGTGATGCACTTTCTGTCTTTTTAATTTGGCTTCTCAACCGATGAGCTGGTGGTCCGAATATTCCGCTTCCTGTGTCTCACACAGTACCACAAAATGTGCTTATGTTCCTTTCCTTGAAGCTGAAAATTGACGTAAGCATTATCCATCGATCTCCTTGTTTACTTAGCCAGATCTCATGTCATCTGAGTCACTTATTGCCGGTACCTCTTATCAGATGTCTTTCGTTGCGCCCACCTCTATAATCCTCCTGCCCGCATGAGCTGCTATGCCGACCATGAACCCGCCCCCGTATCCCATTTTCTACAGGGCCATACTCAGTCACAACCCCCTCCCCTGTGGCTACCTCCCAATCCCTTTTCAACGAAGGTGTCAATCCACGCCTTGTTTCACCAATTTTTAGCATGGGCACAGACACAAAGCTATCAAACCCAATGTTCATAAAGCAGCATAAACAACGTTCTTCACATCTCGCATCTATGTTAATATTTTTGATTAATATCCGTTCGCTTCATTCCAAGATCCACATACTACGCTCATTTGTTTCTGTGACCGATCCTGACATAATATTTATAACTGAGTCGTGGTGCCATGACGACATGTCTAACACCCAGCTAACCATTTTCGGATATGATATGTTTTGAGAAATCGGCAGTGTCGTCGAGGAGGAGGATGCGTACTTTACGCGAAACAATCGCTGGCAGCAACGACATTCGAGAATCCAGCGCTGAATAATGTGCAAGAGTCACTTTGGCTTACGATAACGATCAGACACCAGCAACTGCTTGTTGGTTGTATATACAGCACGCCAAACTGTAGCCAAGAGGATTTAGTAGTTTTGACGTCTGCATTTGAATGTGCCGCAAGCCTTCCGTTTAAACACAAGATTATCGGTGGTGATTTCAATCTGCCACCGATTGCATGGTCTGCAGAAACTGCTCCTCTGAAATTTCATAATCTTATCTCTTGTATTCATATGAATGGTTGGCAACAACATGTCTCCAAACCTACCAGAAGAAACAGCATCCTTGATCTCATTTTCTCGCTGGGCATACCTGCTATTAATGTAACGGTCCTTAATGAATTCCCTGGGAGCGACCATCGGGTGGTCAAATGCTGTTTAAGATTACGCATGGCCAATGAACCACACCTACTGCACTATCGTTTATTCAACTCCGTCAACTGGAACACGTTTAAGGATATGGTTCGTTCGATGAACTGGGATGATTTCTTCCTCTCTCCATGCCCTCAACAAGCAGCAGACGTGTTCTATGATATCATCGGTCTTTGCATTGATTCATTAGTGCCTATAAAGTGTGCCCGCCTAAGAAAACAAAAACCCGATCGCAAAGTGTTAGGTATCACACGCAAGCTTCATAAGATCCGGCGGAAATTTAGATTAACATCAGACTTTGCGCTAATACTGCAGCAGGCAAAGATCATCGAGGAACTCGGGCATCTAAATGTTCGCAATCTCATATTAGAAGAATACAAAGCTTTGAATGGCCCAAATAAAACAACGGAACTGCCCAAACTGTTTCGTGCCAGAGGTTTGCGTCGCAGTAATTCCATCAATTTTATCATAATGCCGGATGGCACATACCTTGATGCTCCAGGTGAAATTTGTGAGGCTTTCAGCGCCTATTTTGCCGAATCAATGGTTGATGAACCGCTAGCCACACCAGCGCTTGTCACACCACACATTGCTGAAAGTTTATGCACAGTGGAATTCACTATTGCAAAAATCTCCGGTCAAGTCTCCCGCTTGTCTTCCTCGACTTCCCCAGGACCTGATGGAATTCCCCCTTGTTTGTTAAAAAGCGGTGGGAGCGACTTGCCTCTTCTATTGCTCAACATTTTTACGCTCTCTTTTAACAGTGCGGTATATCCTAAGCACTGGAAGACTTCCGTTGTTATCCCGCGGCATAAGAATGGAAACGTTCACGAAATTAAAAACTATCGCCCCATCAATCACACACCTGTAATATCTAGAATTATGGAAAGGATAGTGAAATATGAATTACTTATTTTCTTGAATAAGAAAAACGTCATCAACAATTCACAACACGGTTTTTTGCAGGGCAGATCTTGTGCGACATGCCAGACAGACTTCTTAAACCACACAACGGCTGCCATAGACAAAGGCAACAGTGTTATTGTCCTGTTCTTCGACATGCAAAAAGCATTCGACAGAGTGCCGCATCGAAGACTACTCCTCAAGCTAAAAGAAATAGGTATTGGAGAACCAATGTTTTCTTGGTTGTCGTCATACCTAGCTGACAGACATCAGGTGGTGCGTATTGGCGACCGTGTCTCTAAACCGAAAGCAGTCACCAGTGGAGTAATTCAGGGAAGTGTACTTAGTCCACTTCTTTTTCTCCTCTACGTCAACGATGTATTTCATAGAATAAGACATGGTACTACTTTTCTGTTTGCTGATGACATTAAAATCGTCTACTCACAAGAACGTGCAGATACCCGCGCAGCCTTATGCCACATTCAGGAAGATCTATCGGCACTTGAATCCTGGAGCAAACTGTGGCAGATGTCCTTTTCCGTGGACAAATGTAATATTCTGTCGTACAGATGCGAAGTTCCACCAGATAGTCTATTATTACAAGGCACGTTTATATCACAGTGCAAAGTGATGCGCGACTTGGGTGTGCGGTATTCCACTACCTTCAACTTTTCGGAACATTGTGACTTCCAAGTTTCAAAAGCCATGAAGACTATTGGCTATATCTGTCATAAATTTCAACTCACAGAATCTCGTATCTGGCTTTATAAAACATATGTGTTACCTGGCATGGAATACTGCTCACTAATACAGTCGAATCTGCGGAAATCTGACCAGCATGCTCTTGAGAGGGTACAGCGACGCTTCACAAAGAAGCTGTGCGGATATTCCTCCAAGATGACCTACAGAGAGCGCAGTGAAAAACTTGGACTTGACCCAATTTGGCTACGGATAATGAAGATGAACTTGTGTTTCCTGTACAGAATAATTCACCATCACATGCACAATTATGCTAACTGTGTCCATATGGCCGTTAACACTAGATACGAGCTACGAAATAAGGAGACAACGGTCATGATTCCAAAGTTCAGTACGCGAATTAGGGAGCGTTTCTTCTTACTACACTGCTCAAAGCTTTGGAACAAACTTCCAAGAGCTATCAGAACTTGTTGCACATTGCGTTTGTTTAAGCTTTCGATGAAAGATTATTTAACCGTTCAAAATGTGATAATAATGTTTCGAACAGCACAGTCCTTAGATAACGCTTTTGAGAACGGAGTTAATGGTGCCTGAAAATGCATGTGATCAAGTGCACAAGTGGTTATATTTTGTTGGCCCGCAGCACTTTATTCTCTTTTTTTCTCGTGTGCGATCAACTCTCATGTGACTGCTAAAAACTTGTCAGACGATAGAACAAGAGGAATGTAAATATTCTGGACCGCTTCGCGCTACACAAATTTTTATTTTGTGCTCACATTTTTTAAAAATTTATTATACCATGAAATGAAACTGCTGTACCATTATTTGATCCGTCTCTTCTGGGAACGGCTTCTTGCATCGTCGAGCCATATACGATTTATTTATTTATTTATTTATGTCGTAATTACTAAATATACCGTAAATGGATCTAATTTTTCCGAGAACTTGGTACTCCACGACCTAAACTCAGTGGACATTGACCTAGCCTACTTCCATTTCCTGCTTTTTTCTTCGTGATTCAACGTTTTCGCATTCGTCAAGTAAGCATTAGCCATGCTGCGTGTGAGATTGTCTCGAGCAATCGTATCTTCCTACATCAGACCTCCACAGCCTTTTGGCTTTGTTCAGTCGGTTCGCATCACCATCGTGTTCAACATAATAAACCTACACTGATCGTCCATGAGTATAGAAAATGTGAGCGAAAACCTATTCTCTAAATCTCCTCACATTATTTTGCTTTAAGCTCATCCTGCTATAGGGGCGAACTCCAGTCGGAATAGATCAGCATAACAACTACATCAGGTCCCGCAACCGGGTGACTTACGTCCTCGCAGATCACTTGGCCTGTGTTGCAGTGACATTTTTGACAATTGTACGTCCACGATTCATTGTGATCATAGATTCGATCCTGGAAATTGCACGCAGGCGGCTTCGGTGGTTGTAGAACAAGAACATCGTCGCAGTTCTTGCCATGTCTGCCAGGTGGACAGATGCACTGATAATCTGCGACTTTGTCGACACAAGTGGCTCCAAACGCACAGGGGTTGGTTGCACATTCGTCGATGTCTGGGTGAAAAATTCAATTCGTCGTTCACTGATCGATGTGACAATTATCCAGAAATTCATTATCACATGTTTTAGACATTTTTCCTTGCACTCTGCTTAATTCGAACACATCTCGAGGGCACTGGCTCTACTACAATTTAGACGCTGACAAACAGAACCATAGTTATGTCACTACTAATATAAATAATAGATAGCTATTAGTAAAGAAGCACTCTTATCTTAGTTGGTCAGTAAATTTCCCTTCTGAGTCAGTGGGCCTATGTTTCTAGGGCGTGGACCATCTCCAGGCACTTGGCCAGCAAGAGAGTCGCCGAATATCAGCAGGACTAAAACAAATAAGGTTGGTGCTCCGGCGAAACAAACAAAGCCGGGTCACAGATCTCAGCTCCAGTATAAGAAAGGAACTTCGGAAGCCATATGTTCAAAATTTGGTAGACATGGAGACACTAAGGACATTTTTGATCGATCACAAACTAAACCACTCTACTGTGTTGCGGGCAGCTGGTAAGTAGAATGTACTTTCATAGGTTAACTAGCGTGTATACCTAGTAAAGGTCTTTTCTTCTTTTCAGTATAGCACCAGAATCACTGAAGGGCTTAGTATTCGGCCTAGCCAGAGTTGTCTGAATCTGTGTCCTTTATGTACTCCAAAATGATGTTCAGAGAGATTCGAAAATGGCTGTATGATATTCGGTGTTTGTTGAACTCAGACCAATTTGACTAGCATCTGCTCTCTTTCATACACCTTCCAACAGTCTCTGTGCTACATGTTGGTGGTGTAGTTGAGAGTCTGTCCCAGGTCAATCCTGATAGTCCAATGAGCACCTTTCCCAACAATCTTTTGACCCAACCTCTGTATTTAGTCTGTGTTTAGCTTTATTTTGTGTTTAACCGTTTGGGTGTTACAGCTTTCTTCGGTGCCGCAGCGGTTGATCCGCCTTCTTTCTACTTAGCCAAATAGTTAGACTTTTGCATATGACCCTGCTTTGCGAATTGCATTATTGGTGGAACCGGAGGCCCAGCAGCAACTATTTTCATTCACTCCTAGCTCGTATTTGTCAGTCTTACAGTTACATGTGGTCTTAAACCATGTGCCTTACTGAAAGCACGGAACTACCAGCCTGCTATTAACAACCACAGAAACAATGTGGACCATCGCTGTGAAACTGGAACTTGAAGTGATGCTATTGGTTGCCTACCATAGCGGTCCATTTAGCTAGGTTGGGCGCTGCTTCTTCAGCTTCTGAGCCACTCCTACTAAATTGGTTAATGGTTAGAAGCCAGCGAAGCTCAGTCATCTCGTTCTCTATGTTTGGGGTTGGGGCGAGGGTGGCTCCTTATTCCTTAAAATGTACTCCATGTAGAATCCCGAGAATTCTGATCGGTCTCTTGTCTAAACTTAGTCAACTTACTATCGCGAAGTTCTCCGAAGGCGCGGAAACTCAAGCTGGGCTTTATTCAAGTGTATGCTTGCATCACAAATAAGGTATCACAGATGACAAATTTGGCAAAGCATCGTAGACAGTTTCTGTGCGATTGTCAATAGCTGTTCCAGCCTCTCAGACTGGTAGCACGATATATCCTCTAGCGGGGTCAACTACTATCGACATGTGATTAGTTGCTGTGTGCTCAGCCAATGGCTGTTCCACGGTCTCGAGTTGGCAACACGACATATCTGCCAACCAAATAGGGCCGAGCTACTTATTACCAGTCTGTCCAAACGGTCTCTAGTCGCTTTAGTGTCTTGCACACATCACAACTTGTCTTGTTCATATAATAAAAGAAAAATATCCTCAAACTTCTCTGATCCTCCCACCACCTCATAGGATGATCAACCATACCTATCGCAGCGAGCGGAGTGGATTTGATTAAGAGCGCCACTACTAAAGCTCTTCCTTGTCATTTTGTTCCAACTTCACTTTTATCCTTACCCGTTTTAACCTCACAATTCTTGATCCTCCCCCATCTTGCTTTGGCAAGTTTTTGTCTTCGTTTTCACAAATACGTAATCACTGGGCGTCGCTCCCACCTCTTCTACAAGTCTATGTCCAATTAAGCAGAACATCTCAACTCATCCGTTACTATCTGGAACCGATCTTCGCTAAGGTTGTCCTGCCTGGACATGCTCACTTTGTAGCAGATCGGTCGACAAGCAGAACTTGCCTGTGCATTACAGACCGTTTTGGTCAATATCTGCTGCTTCTCGGAATCCTGCCTTCAAGACTCGAGTTCTGTCCTCACTCTACGAATCCCTTCATGTGACACTTTCGCCACCTTCTTACTGCATCTATCCGGAAATTATGCAACCACGAGTGCTGGTCAATCCAGCATGGGTATTGCTCTTAGAATCTGAGCCGAAGTTGTTCTTGTTGACTGGATCTAATACAGTAGCCAGGTATACGTCGTCCGATTGACTGGCTCGTTCATAATTTCGAAGTCGGCGGGGGACATTGAGTAGCTGTTTGCCATTGCCGCCTACTCTCTCAAAAACAGTGGCGCTGACTCTGTGAAGATGACTTCTATCATTCACAGTACCTGATCCTTCCTTACAACAGAAGTACGGATACTGTTTCTGGTTGGTGATTTGAACGCCAAATATGGAAGATTGTTCACTGTTGAGATACACTTGGATGGACAGCAGTGTAAGCTCCCGTAATGATAACGGTGAGCTATTGCTACGCTTATGTATAGATATATTCCTGTGCTTCTCATGACCACTGCCTTCCGACACAACACCCGCTGGAGAATGACATGGCACACAGTAGCCATGGAAGCAAATCAATCACATCGCAGTCAGTTACTGTTTGAGGCGCTACGTCCAAAATTTTCGTTCGGTTTTGTGCACAATTACGAACACCAGTTATGTACTATACCTTTTCTCAGTCAATTGCATCCATAGCGCTTTCAACTTCTCAGGGAAATCATGTTTCCTCATAGATCTCTGGAGATCCAACGGGCGCGAATGCCCCCAAATGCGTACTGCTCTTTGCGTGACCGTCTTGAGAGATCTGCGAAGGAACATGATTTCTTTAAGGTGTTTGAAGGCGCTGTATCCAATCTTCTGAGAAAAGGTATAGTGCGTGCCGATCTGCAGGAATGTCTCAGTGAACTCCGCGATGACGTGAGTGCATCGATAAACTGATACGGTCGGATGTTCCGATTTCTATCCACTTACGCTGGCATACGGGTTGAGTAAGCGCTCACTGAACGGTTGTAGCTACTGGGACTGCACAGCGTACTGAGTTACTCGGCGGTCGCCGGCGCATGCCGGCCGGAGGTAAATTCCGGGAAACACAAAGATCTCAGAGCAGAATTTCGAGTTTGACTGAGAGGATGCCTCGAATCATGTGGTCTGCACCTGCATCGGAGCTGAAACGGCCGCTGCTTCAGGTATAATTATCACGAATCGGCCAATGAACAATGAATTTATACGGGTTAAGAAGCAATACTTTACATGTCCCGTTGGGTGGTATTGCGGGGTTATCGAGAATAAAAATAGTGGGTTATTTACGTTTAAAAGAGGAACTTATCGTTTGTTTTGCTTTAGTCCTGCGATCCGTGCAGTTTCACCACAAACATTTAACAGCAAATGAATCCAAGGTATATTACAGTGTGGTGCACCACTTTGAGTAGTATGGATATGAACGAGGGCGCACAAGGGAAACAGGTAAATCATGAGATGCCGACAGACGAAGATGTGGTGGAATTCAAGCGGACTACGTACACGAGGCAATCTAGATGACGGTACTGTTCTGTCCCCGATTCACTATACACAACGATGTCGTCGCCGTATACGGTCACATTCTTTAATCCATCCAGTAGCCGCGGCATCAAACACCGGAAGGCAAAAGGAGCACCAGATAATCCAAACGGCATCCTTTTAAACTGGTACTGTCACCGGCTGTAAACGCTGTTTTCTCTCGTCATCCAAGTTAGGCAGCACCCGGGTCAGCAATTCACTGATGTGGACCGCGAAGACGAGCGGGTCCGCTCCCAGCCATGCCGCCTTGGACGGCCGCATCGCGTCTTAGCGGCCGGCCGGGATATCGAACCCCACAACTAGCGTCTCCCTCGCGGCGGCCCATCCCAACTTGACAGGGCCCTTTCGCGCGGGATCGGGAACAGCCTTCGCCCAGCCCTTGAGGAGGCTCCGCAGGGAAGCCAACCTCGTCCGGGCCTTCTTCACCCCGACTGCCCCCGCAACGTACTCGAAGTGCTCCATAAACGGTACACCACCATCCCCATGCGGGTCGGTCACGGAATCCTCACCCCCACTTGCAACTGGTCACAGCAGAAAGCGTCGGGCGAAACGAGGGGCGGACAAATCGTCAGCCGGGGAACGCATGTCTGCTTAACATGATAACTCGAACATAGGAACGCGAATCCACTTTGCACATGACTTTCGCGGCACCTTTCTGAAACGATGCGTCGTTGCACCTTTCATTCACTGAGCATCTGTCTAGATTGCCTCGTGGACGTTGTCCGGTTGATTTTCCACCACACCTCCTTCCTCTGCCGGCATGTCATGATTTAACTGTTTTCCTTGTGCGCTCTCGTTAACATCCATGCTACTCATAAGTAGTGCACCACACCAGGAGTGGGATGGAGATGTAGTACTAGGTAACAAAGTGTAGGTAAGTGACTCATCCAAACATCTTTTAAACATGGATATTGATTGTGCAGTAATGACTGATTCTGAAAGAGTGTTCCACGGCTGACACACGCAGATGGGAAAGAAGTTCCTGCGGCAATTCAAGCGGCTGTACTGTTCTGCCAGTTTTAGTGAGAGACCCCTCAAGTTGGTATTACTATTGCGTTGCAGTAACGAGCGGCACACATGTTGTGGATCGTGCAGCGTTTAGTGCACCATTATCAAGTCACAATGTAAGCGGTGGTAACGTCCGCTGAATACCCCCAATCGTTCCAGTCTCTCCTCGTATGGAAGACGGTGCATTCCGATAATGTACTTTGATGCTCGACTGAGGTTGCTCCAATGCACTAAGGTCGTGTTTTAGCCACGGGTGCCAGGCTTGAACTGCATAATCGGCTTGATGATGAACCTACGCACTAAGCATCTGCCGGAAGATAGTGCGATCTGTTTTTCCGAACATCCGTTGTAACAGTCCCACATGTTGGTTACCAGTTTGGGAGGCTTTCGCGGATTGCCTGGAACAACCCAGATCATTCTGAACCAGTACTCCCAAATCACGTACGTTGGCAGCTCGCTGCAGCACCTGCGTTCCGAGCCTGGAACAGTCGTTACTCTGTTGTCGTATGGAGAGCACCTTACCTTTACGAACATTGAATTGCAGTGAATTTTGGATGGACCACTGATATACCATGTCTAGATCTCTTTGAAGCAGTTGCTAGTCAGTATTCCCCTTAACCTTGCGCCAAATCTTTACGTCATCTGCAAACAGCAGGAAGTTAAATGTAATTGCCTGTGTGAGGTCATTGATAAATACCAAAAGCAGTCGGGGACCGAGCCTTGATGCACAGCACATTCAACTTGTATGAGGTGAGAGAAGGAGTTCTGAACTCTGACCACCAATTGCCGCTGAAGGCGATAGTTGGCGATCCAGCTTAGAAGAGGGTCACCGATCCCGTAACGCTGTAGCTTGGAAAGGAATATCCGATAATCTAGCCGATCGAATGCTTTCGTGAAATCCAGGTAGATCACATCAACGTCCTCTTCAGCGTCAGCTGACTAGGTCCAGCCACTCTGTGCTATTAGTAAATTCACTATGCACGATCGATTTCGACGGAAGCCGTGCTACCGTGGTCGATACAGGCGCAGAAATTAGCGGTATACCCAGATCTTTGTAAAAATGCGCTCTGCAACCAGCCGGACTTACGCTACAGGCGGCTAAGCAGACTAAAATAGCGACATACGGCCACCTAACTCATGTACTTAGATACACCTTTAACGTCTCACTATTTCCACTCTTCTTTTCGACATTCCCTTCATGCCGTCACGTGCTATTTTAGGTGCAACTCATTTCCTTCCTTGGGCCTTCTATTTTGTCCAGTGAATCGGGTTATTTGTCTAATTATTCTGCCCAGGATTCTGAGGCTATGCTGAGTGTAGCGAGTACGCGCACATGGCTTTTTCGGCTGATAGTCGCGAGCGAAGCCTCGTGCACGGTTGGTGAGGCTTCGCAGATCGGATGAGGATTAAACCGTTTGGCTACTGACTCGAAACGCAGTTCAGTTGTGTTCGTTTTACGAATTCATTAAAAGTGAAGGCCGCGTTTGGCGTGCGTTGTGGAATGTGTGTCAAGTGTTTGGATTAAGATACACCTTCTTACCCACTTCGGTTCTTCAAATAGCTATTCATCAAAGTTCATAGATGTGTGTCAGCATAGAACTGACTCACCACCCAACACTGCACTGTACAGGAGTTTCTTATAAGAGGCCATCACTTGCTTTTCATTGATCGATTTCTGTGTTGTTGACTTGTTGAGTTTAGTTGCTTGCAAAAGCCGATTTTCACGGTTACGAACCTTTCAATTATGCTCCTATATATTGGCATTCGTATTTGTGAAGAGCGTTGTTAATGACGTCCCGATTAGTTAAGTTTGAACACATTCACTACTGCCGACACGTTTTGGTGATATTCTTCAATTGCTCTTACTCACGACGAACTGTGACTTGCTCTTCGTGCTCCACCCATCCCATCTATGTGCGCTTGTGGACCACATATGCTTGAAATGCTAACGTCGTTGATACGTTTTTTAGTGTTATCGACTCATCACACTGTACCACACGGTTTGTTTAGTTCTTGTTTGTACTGAGCTGTTACCGGAGCTCTGCATTTCACAATTTTAACTTTATATACCTTTACGATTAAGCTACTGAGTTATGTGGGCAGCACTTGCTTGTTGTTTTTGTAGTTCGCAAAAAAAGCCATGACAAGGCGTTACACATTTGTGCATCTCAAGTTTTCCTCATTGCGCTCGATAAATCTATCAAAAATAGGCCTAATGTTTTAGAGTACTCTTCTCATTAATCCTAAAAATGTGACTCACTTATGCGGCAGTCTGGACCGATAAATCCTTTTGGGCATTCGCATTCGTATGAATTGATCAAATCTCTGCAGGTCCCGTTATTATAGCTGCAATGAAATAAAAATGCCAGTATTCCAATGAATAGATGGCGGAAATGCAATACAGGCACACCTTTTGCACCGACACAATTGCGTATCTTCCATACACACCCCGTAAACCTTACTTGCCCATAATGGACCTCTGATGTAACAGCGTGTTGATAAATAAGCTTGTCGCAGCCAGGTATTTTCCAACCATTAATTGCCCAATTATATTTCAATCACCTTTTGGGGTTTGGAAACATTACACCTTTTGTTTGTCTGGATTCTAGGTGGCCACTTTGCTACACTACAACTGCAATCACGTCGTCCAATATGATCACAGTGAGACGGGAATCGGTCACTTCATTTGCCCAATTATCATCCCACACTGTGTTTTCCCCTACCACATTCGCGTCCATATGTGTCTTGCGGTCACTACTACCACAACACGCAGTGTGCCCAGTCAAAGCGATCCGCGATCGTATGCATATCGGGGACGCGCTAGGCCTATTTGACCATAATAAACGTTGCTCTATTTAACAAGACAATAGATTGGATTACTCGGTGAAGCTTACCATGGCATTGAGTTGCACTCATTTATGTCATTTTCACAATATTGTCCATCGAATCCGGGTCGACATAGGCAGTTGAAACTGTCCCCAATATCAATACACGTCGCTCTATTCTGGCATAATGTCTCGTTGACGCATGCTCGATTGTCCGGATGGCCTGTGTATTAAAAGGGGGCAACGCAGCAGGTTGAGGTTATTGTCCACTTTACGTCAAGCACCAGACCGTGAGGACCACTAACCATGTGCTCTCAGGTTAGCATCATCTTTATAAACCACGTCTTTTGGCACAAGTTCTATCATGTTTCCTTAGTGTAGTGATCTTTATCCATCGGACGTTTGATGGTCAAATGGCTACTCTCAAAAGACTGCTAGTTTATTCATTTATTACCTGATTACTAAACTGTAGCTCTATCAGCGCAATCTCAACCGGTTGCTATTGGCTTCTCTTTTCTTTATAGAGAATGAGAAAAGTCATGATTATATATATATATATATATATATATATATATATATATATATCACGTGCGTGTGCAAAATTTCTTCTGGCTGCTTGTTCACCTTCCTAACTTAACTATGGTCATTGAATGTTTTATCTTATTCATTTATCATGAGATTATATGTAGAACTTTTGCTCACTTTCAATACTCCATAAATTATAGGCTGTGGTTCCGATCAGTTTCATTAGGTATTTCATTCTTTTCTGACGTAGTATAGTTTAAAAACGGCCTACATAAATTCGCACATTTATAGAGAGAGATCGAGTGTCAGTTAGTGAATTTCGTTTGACGGTGCCCGCGAAAACACTTACGTAGGTGACACACTGACCCCATCCATCTTTCGTCGCATTCACATCGAAAGCCTCCTGGTTGAAGCGGATCCGAATGACAAACACCGTTGTTAAAGCAGAACTTTGAAACACTACACGGATCATCAGTTCGCAGTTGACACAACCGACCGGACCAACCGGGAGCACACCGACATTGGAAGTCTCCAGGATGAATGGTGTTCTGACAGTAACCTCCGTTGCGGCAGGGGTTTGGTCGACACAGGTCGACAGCTGAAATATAGATAGCCGATTAACATGTTCATTAACTGGGTATCATCATTCAAGTCTAGGTAAACTAAAGGAATTTCAAGAATAGATTAAGTTTTCTTGCTGACCTCATTCCACACTGATCTACTTGGCCGGTTATTTCGGTCTGCCCCAAGTCCACAGTTGGTGCCAGTTCAGCGTGAAACAGCGCGGACAGCAGACCTCTGCTGATGACACCTTGTATCCGCTTTTAAAAGAACCTTTGTTAACGCTAATTTGGATATGTTTAGGTGTGCCGTTCCCATGAAAGCTTGCGACAAACACCACATTGGACACTACCAATTTCGGTGGACGATGAAGACGCTTATGATGCTCGACTTTAGCCTTCCAGTATATTCTTCTCTAACATGCAAAAGTGGCAGGCGGTTAGTGCAAGTTCCATAGACCTCTAGTAAGACGCTCACCGGTCAACTGAGACATGATATATCGCTCAGTACCGCAGATTGTACCACATATAATCTTTGCGTTGGTTAGCGTGAATGAGCAGCCCAGTTGCGCTGTGTTGAGGTGAGCGAGCAAAGTAGTCAAGCTCATCCACCCAAGTGGCCTTTGCCATCACGGTTAAATTACAAGCTGGTGTGCTCCGATTTCATGTCAGCGTCGATGTGTCAGTATTACGCCTATCCTTGTAAGCACAAACGAAGCTGGAGTCGTACAATTATGGAAAAAACTAGAATTAAAACAAAAACACTTGACCAGTAGGATCATCGTTAATTATAAACAAAATATATATACTTACAGAGAATGATTAAACAAATCTTACTAAAAAGCAACATTGCATTTCTTCTAAAAAGTCAGTTACTTTTTACTGGCAATCTGTATTTTGTATTCATTAACATAAACGTTCCATGGACCATTGGATTTCATTTCTATATTCCGTTTCACAGCCATAGTAGGCTCGAACGTGGTTCTCCGTTCAAGTTCCTTCAGAGGGTGTTTCTATTATTCTTCTCCTGTATTATTCTTTTTTATTGTTGATTCGATTATGCATGTTTTTAAGCTATAGTTTTGTCAATCTTATCATATGCTTAGAACGCAGGTTTGCATTTTCACTTCAACCTGAACTGAGTAACCTGAGATGGATACCGCTTCAGTCATTTTGGTGTTTGCTTGACTGTTGTATATAGTCAGTGTTTTATCAACGCATACCGTAGCGTTGATCGTTTTTCATTTACCACATCGGCTCTTTTTTGTCCATATTATCATGGGTGTCACGTACGCGAATGACTTCGATCCGTTTACTCAGCCGTGCGTGGATTGGTTACCACACAAAGCAGCCAGCCAATCATCAGACACACACCCCCGGTCTCGCAACGCGAGTTCCGTGAGTCTTGTACCTTCCTCAATTGATTGATGAACCTCCTGCTGCTTAGACGTCTTCTGCTTGCTGGGATTACGTGTCTCGGAAGCGTGCGTTACATGCTTAGTGGTACTACGTATTAGTGGCGACGAAAAGATTCTCGTTTACCTCGGAAAAGAGACGATTATAACCGTCTCTGGTTTTACCATACGACACGGATAGCCTCAGTGGACATAATCGTACCATTTTCCTGCTAACTTGAAAAGTTGCCTACTCCATCTCGTCATTCTCTTTGTCTCATCCTATTCTATATCCCACATATAAGTCGCCTTTGGGTACAGGTTAACTCTAGAATGATTAACCACTGACTTGGTGCAATGTGGTATCTTTATTGCACATGCCTAGAACAAATGAGCCACAGCTAGCCCAACTTTATTAACCTTATTTAACTCGGTTGAATTTCGCGATGAGTTCACGTGTTGCCAATTGCAATGTTGTACTCATCATGACCTATGCTATGCTATTCTTGCTACCTTCTCATGCGGAGTCTAGTATGGTGACACACCGGGACGGTGAACTCCAGTAGCTTTCAATGCGTATTATTATTATTCGGCCGCGATTCACATCACTATGTAAGCTCCATAGTATTACTCACCAGACTATGCTATCTACATTCTGCTCCTTGAAATCGATTTGTAGATTACATAACCGTAGCTTGAGCGGCTGTTCCCATTCTAACTAGCGTTGGTGATTTTCTTATTTCACCCGGGGTCTGTACTCTCTAACTCTATCAGATTTGACCTTTGTGGTTCATATGGGAGCGAATTGATTGCGCTATTATAACCTTCTACCCCCAGTTCAACTTAGACCTGTGAATCCGTTACCAAAGTGCTATTCATCACATAAATAAAGAATTTATTGTGGTGATTGGTATCCATTTTGCTGCGACGGAGATCGTTCCGCTCCTTATGTTTCGGACAACTTGACTTCGAAGTCAAACGGTGACTTCTACTGCGTCTTCAACTATCCTACCGAACTAGCCTGTATACCCACCAAAACGAGACAACCTATCCGCGCCTCTTGTTTGAGCACCTTTTAATTACCAAGCTAACGTTTTTCACTGTTGTCCTGCGTACATCACTTGCGCCCTACCCTCGGACATCTCCATCGCTCACTTACAAAAGGGGCGTGACTACACTTCAGGCTTATACCCGGTGCTCGGAGCGCAAACGTTTCCCTTCCCTCAGTTACTGTGCGCACTCCAATGGATGTCTCAGACAACAACGTTTCCCAGTGGGAGCGCGCGGCACATTGTGCACCGGCTGAGCTGTGTTTAGTAAACTCTACATTGCCGTCCATTTTAGTTGGACCACGCTAGTCTCACGTTAATCTCACTGCTTTCCTGCCCACCTTCGAAAGCGTGAGTATTCTCAGTCTATAACTATACCGTATTCTGTTGGCTGTTAGCCGCTCTCCACGCAGTGCTACGTGGATGGAAGTGCGATTATTATCGGATGATAGCCTTTGAATTAAGGCGGAAAGCTTCTGCACTGCGAATGATAGCTTCTGCAATAAGGATGTAAGTGATCGCGTTAAGGAAGTTATCAAGTGAGAAATGTTATACAACAGCAGAGACATTGGATATACCTAGCGTAACGATTAATTCGACGATGTGTTTTCGTCTGGTGGGTGAAAATTGATGTGCTCATCCATAAATATGTAAAAAAGACAATAGCGTGGAATATTTAGTAAGCGCGGCGCACGAACTTTAGTCAATATCCGCCGTATTAAAATCTTCTCCCACTATTTGCATGTAACGGATAAATCCACTAAGTAGCAAATCAAGTGTTCCAGGATGTGTTAGTCACCTGCACTGAGATTTGGAAGGGAGTAAATGAAACCCAAAATCACCGAGGTTCCACCTAGAGCAACATATACATTTATGCAATCAACCTTACTATTTTAAGAAGAAGCGCATAACAGCGATGCTTGAAAATTATCACAGACATATATTTTATGCAACAACCTCCTGGTGCCGCTGTTCTACAAGCAATAAAACTGTGATAATATTCAATTTGGAAGCAGGACTTTAGCGTTTCGCATGTAAATCATTTCTCTGTTACTAAGGTAAAATCAGGTATAAAGATGAACGCCAAGCAGCGAAGAGTGGGCATGTTATTTCGAAGTGAGCGAGCATTGAAATAAGCGATTTAGTGGATGGTGTCTGGAATTGTAGATATGCGAACTGGTTGAATTATTTGGGGTAGATTTCTGGCGACGTGTCATTAGAAGTTAAGGACGAAGGGTTGGGGTAATTTTGATCATTAATGGAATTTGTTGCTAGTGTAGAACTATTATCCAAATTTACGTTTGGATCATTCTGAGAAAGTTAAGAAAAAGACTATAGGCTTGATGGGCAGGGGTGACATTGAGGTTCCTCCCCAGGTCTACAAGAAAACACTCCATTGATTCTATCAGAGATATGAATAGTATTTTTATTGAAGAAGAGCCAGTGGGCATAGTGGTTGACCCAGAATGGAGGCTTCAGTCGTTTTCGGATGGACGAAAACATAGAGTTGAGCAAGTAACCTACTGAAGTAAACGTTTGATATGCGAGGGACTTTCCAAATGGTGTATAGCTCGCTACTAAGCATTTCCAGCTTGGGCGGGCCGACAGAACTAAAGCTGACTGATGCTAGGCAGGCTGGTATGCATTTAGCATCTTGATGACGCTAGCATTTAAGATTTCACATTAGCCACATCA